TGTTGCAGTTACTTATTGATTTATTTTTGCTTTGTCGCCTTACCGCAACCATTTGAGCACTAATTCAACTGTGAAAGAATAAGTCTTTATTCTCAAACATTGAAGCAGCTGTTTTCAACATATTTGTAGTAACAACGTGATCAATGTAGCGAGAGACTTACAGAATCTGAATCTCGGCTTGATTCAATTTTATATTGAGTTTCAGCTCACTGATTAGCTGTCTGATGCTTTAATATCTGATTCATGCTCATTGGTGTTTTTAAATGGAAACTACAGCTCGATAAAGTCCTCTGTGCTCTACCTGCTCACCGTTAAACAGTGGACAGACTCACCACGTTTTGGAAGCAAACTTCCGAAAAACAAAACGTGAATTAGGCTTGTTTCCATTAACTGCTTTGGACTGGAAAAAAATAGACTTTGTAGTGTCATCAGAACGTGGCGCTATAGGCTACGCTAGCAACAGCTGTAACACGCAGAGCAGAAGAAGCCAAAACTAGCTGTTGGCCAACTGGAGATGAGGAAAGAGTTTTATGGCACTTATCCAGATTGCTTTCTCCTCACTCAATCCTTGCTTGTGTTGCATCTACTCTCAGATGTACGTCGCTTTGGATAACAGCTAAATGAAATTGTGGAATTTTTGAAGAAGCAAACAAAACTTTGGCCATTTCCGAAAGCTTGTGTTGGCCACGTTTCATGCTGCCTGGAAACAAACACATCGTTTGGCTGAGTTAGACTTTCACGACATCCAAACCTAATCAAGAGAGGTGTCTCAATTAGTCCTTTAATCCTTTTCATTTGAAAAAACAAAACACCTGAAGCAAGCATAGAAATATTATTTTGCGAAGTTGTGTTCTAAGCTATTTTAAAATGTTGTCATTCCAAATGACTTTTTCTTCTGCGATACATCAACATTGTATTAAAAGACATCATAAAAACACAACTGGAATCTCGTTGCTGAATATAGTGGAGCATTTAGCTGGCCAAGAACCAGATATTTCCCTCAGGACCTGGTGGAGACCAAAAACAGAGCTTAAAGAGAGTAGAAGTTGGACTTAGATTAGCTATCTGGACAGAAAATGAATATTCACTCCAAATGAATATTTATGTTGTTCCACAACTGCTAGCAAGTTCAACTTCAAAGGTGAAGATGTGTCAAACTTGTGTTTACAAGTTAATTAAAGCCGTAAGACTAATGTTAACCGAACCAAACAAAGCTCACTAATCCCAAATGCCTCATATGAGCTGCGTTATCGCCTCTGCCAAGGTCCAAAGCAAAGACCCAGAACTTGCTCTCAAGCACTTTGCCAGGTTCTGCATCTCAGCTATTTGTTTTGTTTACAGAAAGGATTCCTCTACATGTGACGTCATTGTTTCTTTACGGCGAGAATAGTTCAGTGTTTATGTACGACTTTGTGTCGTGAGGTTGCTCGCAGTTCTCAGCATGGGCGTCAACACTTAAGATCGTCCGTCGCCAAACAAGGCCCACTCAAAGTCCTGACACCTAACCCTTGTGTGTGTTTACTCACGCCACTGTTAAACATTTACATACTCATCCAAACAGTGTCAGAGGGAAAGCCGAACCATCCCGCTCTGTTTTACATTAGCATGCAACCGAGCAGTTCGCCTCCTTCGCCGAAGAGGCAAAAAAAAACTCCCAAAGCATCCATAGTAATCAATCCGACGAACCCAAACAGCAGTACACACAGAGGACACGGGAGTAAACAACTTTCAACTCGTTTGGATTGAAGTCTCGTCTCCATGAGGAGCGAATAAGACGTGACTCCGTGTTTCGCTTAACGTTTTGTCTTTTAGCTGAAGCTCCGGACCGCAAACAACTTTGTGTATTTTGCGAGCGAGAGACAGAGGGGTATTTCTCCAGCTCTCATAAATGTTTAATAAACACTTTCTATTCACAATCACTGAACTTTTTCCAAACACATGTGGTGCTCTTTATAATCCATATAAGCCATGGACAGCACATGCTTGTACCACATAATCTGTGTTTGTATAAGCAAGTGCACAGACAAAAGTCACACGTGGAAATACGAGTCTCCTGGTCTCTATTTTAACAAGTCTCACTTTTTTAATGGGTATATCCTGGTGTTAAATGTCTGTAATGTGTTTTCCCTGGCTGTGACGACGCTTGGACATAAACATGCTATTCTTGCCGTACCTATAATTGTTCTATTAATAACGCCTATAACGTCTGACTCTCGTTCTGCATGGAAGGGTGCAGCAGTATTTACTGTGTGCGAACGCGACCTGTTTCCAGCTGCCACACGTTGTTAATCTCTGGCTACACCTCAGCCGTTCACAGCCCATTTAGGTCAGACTCTTTTGGCGCTTGGCAGTCAGAGGGCAAAGCTGCTGCCGCTGCCACCGATGTCCCTCGTGGTCAGGGGCGCCGCCGCAAATCCGGGGGCCACACCTTTCTGACGAGACGTACAGTAAAGCCACGTCTAATTGAGAACAGCATCACCTCGCCTGTGCTACCTCTGCCCCCGACCTCGGTGTTGCACAACCCCTCTAAATGCGTGCACGCATTGCTTTACGGTGACATTCGGGCTCTGTCAAGGACGGGCTACTTAGAGATACACGTGGACCACCCAGAGTGCCGCCTGACGGAACCGGTTAGGCCAAATTTAAGGCATTTTGTCAGATAGTGCAAACCAAAAGAGTGTACAGAGGTATCGTTTTTCATGACAAACTATTGACTGCAGAGCAACGAAGAATTAGAATTTTTTGAAGGCCTCTGCCATGCCTCGTTTTGCATCTGTAAGTTGACTTCGATGGGCTTCTTAGAGGCTGTGAGTGGTGACAGATGGAAACAATGGTGGAAGAAATATTCAGATCCTTTAAAACCTAGTTAAGTCACTGTTATTTATGCAGCACATTTAAAACAACAGACAAGAAGACAAAGTGCTTTCCAATAGAGGAAAAGGTTAATTAAGTTTAAATAAATAACTGATCAATAAGTATTCAGGTAAAGTTTGTTATTATGTAAATCCACCTACAACATTACAAATTGACCTCATTCAGTTAAGTATTAAGATTAAGACCAGACATGACCTCATCAAGCTATTTTTTTTTTTGAGAAAAACTGTGATCAACCAGGACAGCACTTCTGTATCCTAGTGCTATATGTAACAAACTGGCGTTAGCGGCCTGTATCCAATGGCCGATGATTTAAAAAGCATCTGCACAGGACAAATGTCTGCTGTTGGCTGATATAGATGCATTGCTTTCAGAAAATTATTCAGAAATTTGCGTCATCCCACACGTCCAGATTGTGCTCTACCTTTACTACACCTGTGTGACAGCAGATGTAAACAAAGGATCGGGTTCATGCTGAAAGTGATCAGTAAAGTCAGAAAAATGACTTGATCGACCTTATCCCCATGTCTGAGGTTAGAACAAGACATTCCCAGAAAAGACGTAAATATTCTCCATTACAAATTGAAGTCTTACAAGAAAAATTGTACTTATGTCAAAGTATAAGCAGCAGAATGTGACTGATATTATCTTATATATGACATCATTGGATCATCAAGTCTCTCCAGTCGTTGATTAAACCCCTAAAAAGTTGCATATTTAGGCGTTTTAGAGTCTTAGATGTAAAACTGCACCGTCGCTCCCTCCAGAAAGTGCAGATCTGTCTGGCTTTCAGTGCAGTTTGAGCACACCAGCTCACCCACAGCTCCGCTCAAACACTGTGAAACTACTCTGCACTACACAACAGCAAATTGTAATACAGTACTAGTTTGACCCGAAAACCATTTCTAAAGAAAAATAATAATAGGAAAGCCCAACGCTGCAAGCTGACAGGGTTGGTCCATCTTTAGAGACTTTTATTGATACACTGCAGCTTCTTCTTGGAAATGCTCGGCCGTGGCGTTAACTGCTTATTTCACTCATGATGTGCCTTTGAGCATATAAAAAAAACACCATAAGGGCATGTTAACGAGGTAAAAAACATCTTTTTGTTCACCAGAGGGACTCTTTAATAGTGAAGCATCAGTGTGTCAGCAGCATGTTACTGCTGCAGGTGGAGCTGGTTGGAACCATTTTATATCCAGTTTTATATGCAGAGACAGAAAATAAATATGAGGGATCAGGATACGGTTAATGGGAGAGGCAAGAAGTAATAAAGTCCTGATAAGTGTGTTTTCAGTTTTTCATTTAATTTCGGGGTCATTTGAACATTTATTGAAACGAAACCATGTGAGAGGTTTGGAGGGAGAAATCTAAATTTGGTGGAGCAACTCGTAGACATCTGAAACTGAGCTTGATTGCTTTAATTTAGAAGCCAAAAAGGTTGAAAACCACTTATTGAATCTTTAACGATGTGTTGCATTTTAAAAGCTTGCTACATTATCCCGTGTTTCAAATGTTCATCTTAAGCTGTCAGATAAATGTGTAGAAAGTACAAAGTTTCCCTCTGAAAGGTCATGAAGTGAAGGAATAAAGCAACGAAAACGTTAAAATATAAGCAAATTAAGTAAATGTACTCAGTTTCTTTCCACCACGTCATCACTACTTGTCATTTCCTTGTGGCCCACTGCTGCAACAACAGTTAACGTGTGATGTGACAAAACGCATGCTTCAAATGACTTGGCCCATTTTCTGCAAACTGCTGGTGCCTTTTGCGCCACATGAGCCTCATATGGTTCACATATGATGAGTCAACGTCATTAACGTGAGCTAAATAACCTCACTCTCGTTTTAGACTCTTGCTGACAAGAGAAACCCAAGTGATAAGTGAAAAGATCTGCTGATCTGAGTAAGGATGTAGCAGCAGGGGAACAATCAGCAGAGCTTCATTTGGGTCAAAACAACACGTTTGTTGTTTCCTCTGCGCGCCAGCTGCTGGTTTTCCTGCGAGGATTCACTGGCAAAACAACAAAAGAGAACATTCTCAGGTGCTTATGCCCTTGTTAGTGGTGCTGATTACAAGGTCTGAATAATGGACAATTACCGAAAAATGTGACCAGACAACTTGATTCACATGTGATGCGCACGTGTGACAGCGAAAGGCAGGACAGCGGCGCATTGTATGTTTATGTTTTAATTCAGTCGTCTATCATTGTGAACAATAGTGGAAGAAAAACAATGAATGCATGGTTTCACAGGTTTGTTTTTCCAAGACTTTTTGGCTTTTTAAAACAATGACTGGGAGGCAAGCTAACCACACACACAAACATCTAGTAGTTATCCTCTGGTTTGCAGAAGGTGGGAAGAGAAGGTAAAGACGATTTCAGGCTCCAGGCTTCTGTCCTCATGGAGGTTTTTGGTGTCCGTTGATAGGGCTCCCCGCCTGAGGACAGGAAAATAAACTGTAAGTGAAGATGACCAAAGACAATAAACAGAAGTGTGTGCAAGAAGAGACATGGGAGTGAGAAAATGCCTTCAGGAAAAACGTCCCAGTTAGTAATGATAGGTCAAAAGATGTCTGGATATCAAAGTTAAAACGAGGCTCAAATTTAACGCTGGTTAATTTTAGCCTTTGTATTTTGCATGATTGTGTATAGCATAGCTAAATTTGCTCTCTCTACCTCCATGGTAGAGATCCAAAAAGAACAGATTTTTACATGGGTCATGTTGGATATTTGATTTGGAGTGTTTGTTCCACTCACCCAGCCTCTGGCAGCAGGCTCAGTTAGTTCAGGTGAAGAAGAAACACTTGATATTCTTATTTTAAAATGTTTTATTTTCCTCCTGCTTTTATTTTCAGATACTGCTGAGATGGATCGAACTTATGTGACTGCAATTCTGCACAAGACACACTATTTATTTATTTATTTTTGTAAATAAGTGTTAATAATAATTTTAAAAAACATTCGTAAAAAAAAAATGCATGTAATTTTAATTGTGATTAAACATTTTTATTAGGTATAAATACAAAATGGAAGCCAATACGGAAAAACAAAACAAGTATATTTTAAAAGTGCATCATAAATATTGTATTATGGAAACATTACTAGTATTTTGCTACCATTAATTAACGAAGTGTCAAGTATCGTTAATACACAACGTGTCTGCTAATTGTAACACAACACATAGCTAAAAAAGAACTGACAGAAACTTTACCGAGTTGGGATTTTTGCATTAGGAGGTGCAGATTTCTTGCAGCAGTAAGTTCTGTTATACCAGTATACAGTATTTACAACATGAAGCTAAAGATCTCTGATGGTGTCTGCTCAGGTCTGAGGACAAAGAGGCTATTTATCCTTGACATACAGGAAAAGATGTGTTAGAATGACTTCTTGTCATGCTATGTCACAAAACCAGTGTCGCACAACTGACCTAACAGTGTTTCAACGTTTATATTTCAAGGTGAAGCAGGTTCGTTAACCTTCATGTCAGAAAAAGATCCACTTTTCAACCATATTCAGCCCAGACATAATCAAAGCTCCAAGATATAAACCATCCTGACTGAGATACACCTCAAATGTCTCTCATAATGCCGAAAAGCTTTCCTTTTTCCCCCTGTCATCCAGAAACGATGCTTCTGTCCACACAATGTGAATCAGCCGTTTATATAAATTATGTCAGGGCTGGTAATGTGTTTTATCAGGGCTGTTTCCTCCATGTCTCCGGCGGTCCCTGCTCCTCCAGCTAAGTTTCCTCCTGCTCGCAGCTCTGCAGGGACTGAAAGAAGGGGGGGGAAAAAAAAAAAACACTCAACATCATCTGCACTCAATCAGAATAATTATCCAAAGAAATGCACTGCAGAGCCTGTGAGAGGTGAGGGGAATGAAGCACAGAGGCTATTGGCAATCACCTCCCTCCAGTCATTATTAGTCATCTCTTTGCTGCTTTGGAAGAGGACCCGGACTGCTTGGGAGGAAGCCATGTGCAGCCGACAGACAGACAGTGTAAAGGCCTGATGTGACTCCGGTGCCCAGAAAGCATCAGCCGTCTCTGAAGGCTCTGGCAGGCCGGCAGCTCCTCTGGGGACTGGCAGCGAGTATTAGCCTTATGTTCTGTCTGTCAGGCTTCTTCTTATCCTCAGTTTTTAAAACACTGAACTTGTCATTCTGATGATGTGGGGGCTTTAAAAAATCCCCAAAGCGGCCAGCAAACACCTTTCATTATAAAAATCCACCAGGAGGATGAAGTGTTTGCGGCCCTGTCAGGATTTGTGAACGCTTCCTGAAGGAGCTCTTTGAGGGACATTGTGAGGTTTGATTGCAAAATGGCTTTGCCACTGAAAGTTCCTCAAAGCCCTCTAACTTTTCAAAGCATACAGCAGACAGACAGAAAAAATAAAACACTGATTAGACTCCAGTGCCCATGAAGTATCAGTTTTATGAATGTTCTGGCAGCCCTCCAAGTCCACAGGGGACTGGCAGCCGTCCTCTCATGAATGTTGCTGTGTTTTGCACTTGTCTCTGATCCAAAGATTTTAAAAGATTAAACTGGTCGCTCTTGAGGGATCATTTCTAAAATCCAAAGGCAGCTACTTGTGCACTTTGCCCTTACAAGACGAATTAATCATTGTGACCACAGCTCCTGACAGTCTCCTCGGAAATGGAGGCTTTGAACATTTCCCACTCAGACTTTGTGTCCCCAACATCCTCTGGGATTCACAAGAAACTCTTCAGGAGGTGGGAGTTGAAGACTTCATGGACAGGGGGCCTCCGCCAGACGTCCCCAGCTCAACTTCACTACGAGTTTGGGTTCACGAGGTCTGTGCAGCAGCCCTCCCCAGCATCAGGTCCAGCTCAGCACCAGGTAGGGATCAGTTCACAGCTCTCTTTACTATACAAAGTCAATCATTGGTCTTTGGCCCAAGGTGCCAGGTGCACTTATGAGCCACTGGGTGCTCCAACATGTTGTTCCAGCTGGTACCGCTCCACCTTCCTCACTAGCTCCGGTTCCTTCCCTACCAAACAGGTGAACTTCCACATTCCCAAAACTAGTCGCAACACCAGAGTCAGGACTCCTCGGTGTCCACTCTAACCTGCTGCCTGACTTGCAGTGCACCCAGGATGAAATGCAGGCCTGTTTCTTGACCTACTGGAGTCTCAGCTGGCTGTTCGCTCCAGCTTCATATTTAATAGACACTCTCGGTAAGAAAGTCAATGAGTGTATTTTGCAAAATGTTTAACTGCGCCTTCGACAAATGTTCATATGTTAGAGGTAGGAAGTCTCTCAGTTGAGGTTCCTAGTGTTACAGTTTCTGCTTTGTTTACCTTCAAATGACCCATCAAAGAGCCTTAAAGCAGCTCAAGGTGAAAATTAGAAGCTCATTTGTATTATTTTGAGGTTTTCATGATATAAACTCAGGTATTTAAAAGTAACAGAACAGAATGATGTCATTGAGTTTTACACCCAGTTTTATTCTGCAGTATAACCAAAACTTAGCAACACATCAAGAACCAGACAGCCACTAAAGTGAAGGTTCTCACTCCATCCAGCTTTGCGGCATATAAGGTTGATTTGCAGTTCAGAAAATGTGGGGTTGTGTCCGAAATCTCTATTGACATCTTCATAGTGACATCAACAAGAAGAGAAAACAGGCTGTACCTGCCATTACCTCTGGATGAGTTTACACACTTCGATCTTGGACACTGGAAGTGGTGCACAACAAATTCCACAGTCATAAAAAGGAACGACAACTTAGATGTTGATGTAAAATCTATTAGTTCAACACCAGGATGCAACAAACACGTCATAGCTGACATGTAGTTTAACACATTGATTACTGCGTTGTGTTTCCTACTGGGACTGAATGTTAATCTTTAACCGGTGATTCTTTAAGAGTTTCCAGTTTTACCAATTTTAACTTTATACACTGATTTTTTACAGGGGTTGACAGATTGTTTCATCTGTTATATTCAAAATATGAACTCCTACACTGTTTCAGCTTGTGTGCCCTCTGCTGGTGTCTTCTATGGACAGTCAGTCTTCCTCCCTGAATGCAGTCTGTCTGAACACGTGTCTACTTGTTAGGATACGCGGCAGCCAGGCAAAATAGAAAACACCGATGAGACTTCTGTGCACGTGTAGGAGTTTTCTAGAAAACTTTGTGGCACCACGACATGCCTGCGAGTGGACTGGCAGCTGTGCCCTGATAAATATCTGAAAACTATACCCTGTGTTTTGAAATTCTAATGTTTCCCCCTGAGATCTGCACTTGTCTCCAATCCAGAGATTTTGAAACGCAGAAGCGATTGCTGCAAAGATAGTGCTGACATTAAAAAAAAACCTAAAGTACTGTAGCCTACAGCTTTAGGGGTTCAGATAAATAAAATAACCCAGAAAAAAGGCTGTCCAAACACAGAGCATTAGTTGTTTGTTAATCGTCCACTTTTGTGTTTACTGTAAAGTGATAAAAGACAAATTTAGCAGAAGAAAAGGGACTCAAAATATGGCCTGATGACAAACAGGCGCCTCCTGTTCAGTTTTGGGCTGAAAGGCCTTCATTGCATAATATACCCAGCTCTCTGAGAAAATAAAGGCAAAAAATACAGGAACAAGAGGAAAAACATGGAGCTACCTTCTCTGTTGACCCCAAACAAGCCAGCTTACAGTTCATGTATACATCCCAGTACGGTGACTGTTTCAGGTGGCAAATCAACACAACGGCAAGAATAATTTACTTCACTGTCAGCCTGTTACAGTGGCAGTCGTTAGGGATGTGACAAGAAGTGAAAGCAATTTAGTGTTTGTTTGTTTGTTTGTTTTTTTGGTCCGTTTTCCACTACTCATGCATGTTCCAACCATAAGAAGAACTTTACTCTGGGCTGTTTTTGGTGAAGAAGAAAGTGCCTACATCAGGGGTTGGAGTGATACTGATCCGTTAAACTCAACGCACTCTTCTCCTCTGTAACATCGTCTTCAATGTAAAGTTCACCATATAGTCTAACATAACAAACCTCCATTTCTCCATTAACTATGTGCTTGTAGGACTGAAGTTTCATCCAGTAACTATTTGTCATTGCGGTGCAGCTGAAGCTGTCTGATCCTGCACCGCAATGGAAACAGGAAGCCTGAAAGAGCCAACATGTAACTGTGTGTTGGCACCTTGAACCTCCCCGAAGCTCCAACAGTAGAAAGCTACCTCGTGGTATTATGTGTACTGAACATACTGGACAGCCTGAACAAGCATGTACATTAGTGATGGAAAGTGCAGGTGCAGCAACACATCTACTGTGATGTATGGACAAAAAAACATACCAAGCATCACATGCAAATATTTTGTATTTGAGTCCTTGACCAGGAACAAGTTATAGACGACTAAAAGCCAGAACGCAGACAGCGTTGGAGCAAGACACACATCTGGATCTGTACACAGAGTCTGTGACGTCCTCGGCCGTCAAGATGGATGAACGCTTGTTTCTTTTTGAAACGGAAACTAGAAGTTTATGGCGATACTCTCTGTTCTTTATAGAACATTCTGCGGTTGTCCATTGATTACATAAAGTCCTTAACTCATCATTAAATGTCAAAAAACAACAATGAGAGTATCAGAGTTCTGTGAGACCTCTGGCTGAACGGCAACTCCTGTAGGGACTGGCAGTCACGTCCAGATGAATATTAGCTCTGTTTTTTGGATTTCAGTGCTGAGACCAGCACCAGATTTCTTTAAAACTTGTAAAATAATGACTCACATGAGGGTTCATGTAACATATTAATAGAGCCAGTAAGCATTTCAATTTTCCAAAAAGTTTCTGTCCGGAAACTTAGAGTTACAACAAATATTCGTGGTAAAGCTACAACAAACATTCTGTGGTGACTGACAGAAAATTCCTCAAAGATTTTGATAATAAATTAATCTATTTCCCAGCAAAATGACAGATATTTTTGGCTTTTAACTTTTCAAATGAGAGGATTTAGTGCGTTTCTTGAATGAAACAGCCAATGTGAATATATCTCTTTTCACTGTGCGGAAATTCAAACAGTTTTCACTATTTTCTGGCATTTTACAGATAAAACAGAGCAGAGCTGAAAAGTCAAATTAGGGAGTAAAGAAATAATTGCAGCCTGAAGTTTGTGGAAGTCAGACGTGACAGAGCTTCGAATGTCCTCCACGGCAGAGAGACAAACCTCACTTAGACATGTTTATCCAAGACACCCTCGTAATTTGTGGAGGAACTGACAGCACTTCAGCTCCTCTGGGGATTGGCAGCCGTACTCAGAAGAATATTACCACCCTAATGAAGCTCTAATATTTCACCCCTAAGGCTTTGAAAGACACGTCAGATGTGAAGTGCAGAGATGTTCTGAGGAACCTTTAGGATGCAGCAAGAGAAGGTTCCTCAGATGGGACCTGCAACACGCGACCATTAGGTAGAAAAATAGCGCCGATACCTGGTTAAAGAGCTCTTCGTACAGCATGTTTGAGTTCTCCACTTGAGACTCCAGATCAGTCACTGCATCCGCATCCCACGATGTTATACTGATTGAAAAAGAAAGGCAGGTTAAACTGGTGCCATGCAGAGAGTGAGCTGAGGTGGAAAACAGAAGAGGAATTAAACATTGCAGAATGTAAACTGATTTGGATGTTCTTTTTTAAATGCTTTGCTATAGATTGATTCCTGATGAAATCTCTTCATACCTGATGCAGCTCTCTGTGTCCTTTAGAGGGCAGACGAGGCTCTGTGTTGAACTGCCGTCACGTGAACTCTTCTTGAGCTTCTCAGCCTTCTGTTCCAGCATGTTGACCTGTCGCAGGAAAATCTCCCTCTCTTCCACCAGGCAGTCCTTGAACCTGCGAGAAACCGACACCTCAGCACATCTTTGTACAAAATCTAGAGAGTGTCGAGATGCAGCTGATTAATCTATAAAGGAAGCAGCAGTAAGAGGTCTGGCTGAAGTAGGACATAAATTGTGGGGTTGGTTTCCAGCTTTTCCTGTCGGAAATGCAGAAATGTCCTTCAGCCTTCAGAGTTTACTTCCTAAACGTGAGCTGCTTTAGATAAGAGTCTGTTAATGAATGTGAGTTTGTGGCAAAGTTTAAATTGACACTATTTATTGCCAAGAAGCAGGCGTCAGAAACTGCATTTCATGCAGCACCTACACTGACTGCACCACACAATATTTCCTTTTTTAATTCTATGAAGGTCATGTTGTACTTCCTCAATTTAAGTTCAGATGGGAGACCAGGGATGCCTCATGTGTACCACCCCAATCATAATCCCTATATTGTTCCATCCATCCATTATCTATACACCGCTTAATCCTCACTAGGGTCATGGGGGGCTGGAGTCTATCCCAGCTGACTCAGGGTGAAGGCAGGGGACACCCTGGACAGGTCACCAGTCTATCACAGGGCTACACTTAGAGACAGACAACCAAGCACACTCACATTCACACCTACAGAATCACCAATTAACCTCAACATGTTTTTGGACTGTGTGGGAGGAAGCCGGAGAACCCAGAGAGAACCCACACTGCACGGGGAGAACACGCAAACTCCACACAGAAAGGTGCCCCCACCGGGACACAAACCAACGACTTTCTTGCTGCGAGGCAACAGTACCTTGCAGCCCCCCTATATTGTTCTATCCCTGAAATATGCAAACAAGGTATTGCATCTCTAAAAATGCCCATTAGACATATTAGATATAAAGGTTTTTACTGAGGGAATTTTTGGATCTCTCTTTTCATGACACTATGAATCAAAGAATGCTGTCAACAGCCAAAAATCAATTTTCACCATGTTTTTAAGAATAAAATGTTTGTTCATCAGGATATGGATGATATATGAACAAATCCAAAAAGTTTGGTGTATGTAAATGCAACTGAAGTGAAGATTTCTGACTCAAAGTAAGAGGAGAAACTCATTTTTGAGAAAATACCCTTAAAATATGTGTTATATTTTGAATCCACAGATGCAAAGAGTCAAAATTTTGCAAAATATGCATTTGGATGTCTGTTTTGGATGTTTTCTTTTCTGCTAGACTGAAAGAAGACATAATATGGGAGCAAAATATCACAAAATCTCAGAATTTAGATTTTAAAAAACTATTTTGTGTTGACACTAGCAGATTCTGTGTTGCATATTATTTAATTCTGATGTGCACATGCTGCTGCTTTTTAAAAATACTTCAAGACAGATAGAAAGACAAGCAGAGAAGTTTCACATCCAGTAATCGGGTAATAAATGTAATAGTGTGTCCTCAGCTTGAGGTCTGTGTACATTTTTTGTGTGTAGACTTTAAAGGTTTGATACAGGTAGAGATATAAACATACCCACCTCTTTACACAACACATCCAGTAGCGCTGCTGCTGACAGAGCCACTCAAACTGCTCTGCCGTGTCCTGCAGTTTCCTCAGACTGCCCTCGTTCTCCCGCTGCAGTTCCCTCACCTCAAAAAGAAAAAGCGAGGCAGCATCAGTTTGTTTCCCCTTCAGCTCCCACGACTTTCACAATACTTCACCGCCTCCAAATAAATGTTCTCATTAGGTTTTTCACTGACACTGCGGTCTGTTGTTCTGTTCTCTTGGCCTTGTGCAGACGTCTCAGAGGAAAGATAATTGTAGACCTGGATTGTTTGCTGTTTGATGGACTGGTTGAAGCAGAGGCCAATGAGGGAGTGAGTCTTTGAAGCCAAGTGTAAATAAAAAAAAATCTTGACAGTGCAAAGGAATGTTTCAGTAATGCCCAGACCCAACACACATTAATACAAACTAAATGCCAGCAAAATCTGAATTAGAGCGCTCTGTGAAGTAGTTATAGTTTTTTAAAATTTGGCCTCAGTACATCAATTTGAACCTTGAGGTTTTATGTTTCATGAAAATTAATTATCCAAAATCCAGCAGCAGGTCATTATTCACTGTTTTGAGCTGGCATCGCGCCACGTTGACCTAAATTAGCCTGAAACAGCACCGTGCTAATCCACTGCTTCTGACTGAAGGAGCTGGCTGCAAGGCTCTACAAAGAGAAATATCCCATATTCATTTTAAAAACCATTACAAGTCTGGTATTTGTTGACTGTACTTGTGTCCAATTGAAAGGCCGGTTTGGAACAACGTGTCCAATCCCGACATCTGCTGGAAAGAAACTGACACTGCAACAATCCAGCTGATCGTCCTTTAGTCCTCGAGTGGCATACCAAACTATAAAAAACATGTGATTACAAAAACTAAACCGCACTTGCTCACAGGTTGTCAAGGTACTTGGCAGGTATGTTGCTCCAAGAATGTGAGAAGTGAGTCTGTCTCAGTGCCTCTTCATGTAACCAAACACTGACTCCATGCTGCTGAGATCAGGGTTAAACCACGTGTTGTTATTTTTTGTGGCTGAAGGCAGTTTTTTGTGACTCTGACTGGATGTTTGGACTCAATATAATGCTGCAGACGTCTTTTAGACACATCTGAAGGTGATGCATGATGAGTAAGAATCTAAACATCTAAAGTGACAAATAATTTTGCACTCCACTGTACTTTAAATTCACTTTAAATTTACTTCTCGCCATAGACTGTATATAAAAGACTAATGTAAAGACAGTAACGGCACGCATTGGTTTGTGGATTGGTGTGTTGAAGCCGTCGCCATCTTGGTTTTTTGAACCTGGACGCAACGAGTGATGGCTGGATCTGACCAAGGACTCAACAACACACTGCACACAGTAGGTCAGACGGTAGATCAGGTTGTCCACTAATGGCACCAATGGGTTCAATATCATGCTGCAGAATGAATTCTAGAGACATCTGAAGGTGTTGCATGACGCATCCCCTATTCATCAGCATGCCAAAGGGTTCTCGGGCAAAACATAGAATCCAAAGTTGTTCTCAATGGCAGACGAGCACTTTGCATGGCAGCCTTGATATTTTTGGTTTGTGTGACTGAGAATCATCGAGTATCTCTAAGGTAGATGTGCTGTATGAATATACACCACTGGTCATACGGCAGCCGTCTGTCAATTTGGCCTAAAACATACCCTGCGTCATCGTCTAGTTTACTCTGAATAGGACCATAATTTACTAAATGAACACCACGATGGATTGAGGGAGACTTGAAACTGTCAACTGAGATCACAAACCTATGAGGAAAATGTTTGCTGAGATGAAATATTAGGTGAGAGGGTATTTGTCATTGACCTCTATGCAATGCCCCCTGCAGGCCATGAGAAAGAATGCAGGTTTAAGGCATTTCTGTGGTAGCCTTACTTTTCAGAAATGGAGGCTAAATCTATGTTTTATATACAACTATTGCTCGTAATCCATACAGACGTACATATAGGTGTTACTTTCCAATTCAGGGTCACCGTAGGGACACAGACATGATGCTAGACAACTTGGTCTGGATTTTTTTTTTATTTTTTTTGCACCCTTGGTGGGTTACCTATTTTGTGGGAGCAAAGCTTTGCTAAAAAGAGCCTTCTTGTTCATGGGCAGTCAGCCAGAAGGAAGAAGGATGAAGGGCTGGCTGGGTGGTCTGTGTCATGTGTCATTATGTATCTGTGTATCCGAGCTGCCCTCCTCCCTGACACACCATCTGTCAAGTCTTTGCACTGTTAGTACTGGATAGTCAGACTTTTCTTTTACCTTAATATGCACAAAACCTAAACTTTGTTCCTTACCTCCTCCTGATGAGCTCTTCGGAGATTCTTCAGCTCCTTTCTCAGGGTTTTGTTGATGTCCTGTAACTCTTCCAGCTCAGCTGTTTTACTGTGAACGACAAAAACCGGAACCAAAAAAATGTATTTACCATCCAAACATTATCACTTTGCTTGTGTCCAGAGTAATTTACTACAGTAGAGCATTATATTGGTTATTTAAGGGTTGAGGAAATTCCATCCATACGGCCTTTTACATGTATACACAAAAAGCCTGAATAAGCAATGTGCTAACAGCAGTGAATGCAGACATGTTAACACATTAACACTGCTGCATGAGGCATCAAATATGGAATAATCTGAAACTTCTGGTTGTCTAAAATAGTAAAGAACCTTAATGAATGTAGGCATAGTCATAAATTAGAATAACTAGAGTTCTGATATAACTAAAGTCCTGTTTCTTATTTTAGTGTTTTACATGTGTTTATTTTAGAATTCCATTCATTCACCTGGATCTCTATTTCCAGCCCTCACACACAAGCAGATGTCTTGACAAGAATTTTAATGAAAATGTAAATATGAATGCCTCTGTGTTCCTGCAGCCATAATGTGATAACAAATTCTGAATCTAAGCCAACTCCCCACAGGGTCTGAGCTGCACTGGATGACAACTGCTGACTTAAAACTACAGGCCTGAGCTGGATGTTTTCATTCAGTCTTGAGACAACAGTTGGAGATGATTTTCTTCCCGGGGTTTGCAGAGCAGTTGGTGACTGCTTTATTTGGCTTCACTTTGCTGAAGATGGTAATCAACAGTTAGTCCTTTTAACGTCCCTTCTCTTCTTCTGTCTGCAGCCTTTTCGTGCTTCATGTTCATTTTTGTATTTTGTTAGGTTTTAACAATAGATCATGGAGGAATGTGCTCAGATCAACAATTCAACATCGCAAAGAACAACATGCGCTGCTGTGGCCGGGTTTCAGGTTCTTTCAGTCGCTACAAGGGCAGGAAGCGCAACCACAAAGAAATGCCAAATGGCAACTAAAAACACAAAACAACTACGAAAAGAGAAAATGACCACAAAGGGACACAAAATTACTACAAAGAGCTACAAAACAATCTTCATCGACACCCACAGTTACCACAAATTGCTGCAAAACAAGAGATGTCAAACTACCACAGGGATGCAAAAAGGCCCCAGGAAACACAAAAGCAATCACAAAGAGGTCCAACCAAAAAGCAGCCCTGTCATGCCAAAGGGAGAACAGCTGCTGTGGGCCTACCTGTGCAGCTCTTCGTGGAGGCTCTCCGTCAGTGCAGCTCTGCGCTGGGCCTCATCTTGCAGCTCTGCCTGGAGGCCTTCTGCCACTGCGGCTCGGTGCTGGGCCTCGGCATGCAGCTCCTCCACCAGGCCCTCCAGCTTCACCTCGGAGCTCTGCAGACACAGCAGCTCTGTGCCGACCTGCCGAAGCAGCTCCACGTCCCGGGAGCTCTCCTCCGCCAGCAGCACCACCCGTTGCTGCAGCAGGTCCACCAGGTCCTGCAGACAGGTTAGAATGCTATTTCAGCACACGTTTGTATGTTTATGGCACATATTTACCATGCATCTTATTCTCAGGTTAGCGCTTGTTCAGACATACCAATCAAAGTATTGTTATCCAGTACTGACTGATATAAATGTCAAACACACCTATAGGTCAAGGAGTTGAGGACAAGCCCAAACCTGACACGATATTAAATCAGTGTGGGGAAAGTGAAGGAGTCACGCTCTCCAAATCTCCAACAAATACCACAGAGGTTTCTACAAGAGCTGATCATTTGTTACTGTGCAGCCTCCAAGCAAGACACCGGATAAATGTTAAGCTGCTGAAAAACTGCACCAGTTTCCAAATACATGAAAAAATATCTCTTTGAACACCACGATAAGCTCCTAAGATCCTCTGAAATTATGAGACGTAAGAGTTCCCCGATGATTAATGGTACTAGGAAAACTTTTTTTTTTTTTTTTAAAAAGGCAACAACATTCTTCTACCACATTAAAATATGTTGATTCTTTTTCCCACCCTAAGATTTAAGTCTTTGTTTTGCTCTGTGAAATATTGATTCCAGGCTTCCAGAAAGCATTAAAATTAAACGGTTGGAGAAAGGAAAATAAACATCTCTCAAGTTCAAACGTCTCACAGCTCATAGCTCATTCCCATGCAACCTGTGTTGAGCAGCCAGACACTCAGAAACGTATAAAACCACTGACAAAACCTCTGCTTGTACACATGTTAACACTGGTAGTCCAATTCCAGTGTAATTGCAGTAACTGCAGCACACGTGGCCCACTGGCACAGCCGTGATTACATGCATCCAAATTAAGGGACTGTAATGAGGTGAAATGACACACATTTTTTAAAAATCACTGCGTTGAACTGACACTGACCTTTAGGTAGTTATTCCTAACAAGACTCCCTAAACGCCTCGACAACGCAGCTGAAAGTTGGTCCGGGAATCATGATTAACTGAAAAGAGTCATTGTTATCAGTCAGCTCTGCAGCCCCTTCTCAGCTTCTTTCAATAAAGGTTTTGGTACATTTACTGGTAGTTCAGTCAGCAGCTGGTTGCAGTAAAACGTTGTGATAAATCAACTGCAACTACTGTTCAGCATCAAATGGCAGAGAAAGTCTGAGAGCAGCCGCTGGAGCATTTAGCAGCTAAACACACAGATATTTCCCTCAGGAGTCGGTGGAGACCAAACCTGCCACTGAAATGGGAATAAATGCTTCATTCTTGTGTATTGGCAGAATGCTTAGGAGCCTTTCTGCTCCTCTTGGAAACTCTCATTAGCAGCTTAAACAGTCTACGTTAGCTAGTTTTGTAGCATTAGAGCGTTCAATTAAAGAGCCCTGATTATGCACATTGACAGGTTTATGATCATGTTTTTTCTGGTGTCATAGAATAAGTTTGATTTGATGGTTTCACATTAAAAACACATTATTTCTATCTGCTGTTTGTTGCTGTATAGCACCTCTTCTCACCCTGTCTGACATAGATTCGCAACAGTTAACTGATTAATTAATTAAAGTTATTTTTTGAGAGGGGGGAAAGTACAAATTCTCTCATTGCATTTTCTTAAATGTGAATTTTTTGTTTGTTTCTTTACTCTTCTATGACACCGAATATCATTCATGTCCATCATCTTTTGGAAACACTGCTCAACATTTTTCACCATCTATGCATTAATAGATGTATAGGCAATTAAAAACAATATGAATTTAGGCAGCCCCAGTCTGAAACGCTGCGTTTTCACTCCTGTCTCTTTAAAGGCCTCCTCCTGAAAAGCCCAGCCTGCTCTGATTGGTCAGCAGAACGTGATGTAATGCTGGTTATGCACCATAACAACCCTTCAGGTGTGGCCCATGGGATCTCACCTGGGAAAAAAAACATGTAGAGTATTCAGCAGCATAAGACAAATGGTTTTTGATCCTGTTTTAATTTGTGCCATGAAATGCATGTGATGTAAGATCATTTTGAAAGCCAAGAGAGTCGCAGTTTGTCTTGAAACTATTGTCGTGATGTCGGTATAAAGACTTGACACCCCAAAGTTGTAAACGTGGCATCATTATAAGGTCCTCTCTGCACTAGCTACCCGGAGCTGCTGAAGACTGAGATAAAGTATGTTCTGACCACAGGCAGTGTTCCTGTAGAAGCTCTTTGAGGGCTGCTTTCATGGGAGAAAAGTGAAGGAACTCCTGAGCAGGAACTCCTGAGCAGAGCTGAAAAACCGCTGTTTGGGTCATAACACCGATCGGAGAAGACAACAAGCGCCCTCTCAGTGTCTTCTTCGAGTAGTGGCCTTCTGTGCTCTAACGTAAAGCTCATCATATGCACACAACAATCAGCAATTGTGCTGCTTCCCATGTGAGAACTATTTATCATTGTTGTGGTGCAGCTTCGTGTCTACAGCTGCACTGAAGGGAAACACAAAGGCTGGAAGTCTTTCCTGTAAACACATTTACCAATGCATGCCTGCTCTGAGTTCCTGCAATATGCCTAGAGATACATTTCCTGTATTTGCATATCTGTTGTCAGTATGTGAAGACTCATAGTGGTTGTTAGCTCTTTTCTACTAGCGGCCATCAAACTGTATAACTCCTCTCCCATCTGCAGGAAGGACATTTAAACAGTTTGTTCAATATATTTTAATTTATTGTGTAATATTTAATTATCAGATGCAATAGAACTTTAATACCTCAGAATAATTGCAAGTATTACTTCTTCCTTTGCTGTATTCTAGTCCTATTCTACTTATTTTTATTTTCAGTGATTAACTGGACTTAAATCTCATTGTTTTTCTATTAGGCACTGCATTTATTCTCATGTCATGTCATTTTTTTCTGAGCGATATCTGGCACAAGAATCTATCGGGATTAAAGTGTTTCTCATCTGTTTTCTCTTGGTTTGAAGCATGAGCAGAATCATGGCAAGCTAACGGCCATGTTGGCCACACTGCCACTTTCTTGACTTGACCGTGAGGAAGCTGGTCGAGGGCGTGCCGAACTAACCGTCTAGTGTTATGAAAATGTCTCGCATTGTGACGTAGATAAGCAACGTAACTTCAGACAAGACTTTTTCAGGCAGGTAGAGGACTTTAAATGATGAAATGGATTACAATGTGATAAACGTGCACACGGAGAGGGGCTTTAGGATGCATGGAGCTGGACAGAAGGAATAATGAGCTCGACCCTCTAGACGTAGCATCACTATAAATGTTTCAACCCAAGTATGAAGTTGAGCTTCAAATCATATAAATATTTAACTTCCTCTTCATTATTACAATATAAGTCATCGTGTTGTAGCATGAAATTGTTACATTATAACAAGATAATGAGTAGATAGCTATAACGCAAAAATGTCTGATTATAACGTGAATATATTTTGTAAAACCATCTTGTTATGGCAATAAACTTTTCACATTATAACGCAAAACGGATCAACAATGATGCAAGGTGGCCACCTGGGATCTTCCTGTGTGGAGTTTGCATGTTCTCCCCGTGCAGCGTGGGTTCTCTCCGGGTTCTCCGGCTTCCTCCCACACAGTCCAAAAACATGTTGAGGTTAATTGGTGATTCTAAATTGTCCGTAGGTGTGAATGTGAGTGTGCTTGGTTGTCTGTCTCTAAGTGTAGCCCTGTGATAGACTGGTGACCTGTCCAGGGTGTCCCCTGCCTTCACCCTGAGTCAGCTGGGATAGACTCCAGCCCCCCATGACCCTAGTGAGGATTAACAGGTGTATAGATGATAGATGGATGGATCAGCAATGCACCTGTTGAGCTGCTAGTAAGAGAATGCTAATTATTTAGACTGCCTTTATTTTTGGATCACTTCTTCATTTGAACCTGAATTAAATAATTTTAACCAACTGGAACACAACACTGACATCTAATCTGCTTTCAGTCAGATAACACGTCTAACATCATCACAAGTGTAGAGTTTTGTTAAAAACAGCTGCCAGTTTATGGTCTGAAAGTTGTTTTTTTTATCAGTTTTGGGACGCTGCAGTGCCAGATGACTGATCCATTGTTAATTCTAACAATATTGATTGCAGCATCTACAGAGCAGCCCCCCTCTGACAGGTAATTCAGCCCACCTGCTGCTGGCGGATCCTGCTGATGAGCTGGTCCTGGTTCATCCTGAGCTCCATGTTCTGCTGCTCCTGCTGGAGGAGGCGAGCGGTCGCGGCTTCCAGATCATTCTGCAGCTTCCTCTCCCTGTCTTTGGACACCAGGAACTCTCTGTCCAACACTGCTGCAGCCACAAACACAGCAGAGCACAGTCAGGGCAGACGGCCCCACAGAGAAACTGCAGGTCTGGCATTTATATGGTGATTACTTTCTTGAATGAGGACAACGTGACAACTTATTTTGTCCAGAATGATTCAAAATGATCAAAAATCAACTGAAACTAATAAGGAAAGCAACAAGTCCTCATGTGGGAAGCTGGAACTTTGTTAAATATTTAGCATTTTTAAATTAAAAAAAAATTAATCTACAAATGAATTCAGCTTTGTATGTATTTCATGTTGGGTAGTTTACTAAAAAATATATATATTATCACTCTTTATATGCTTTGTAAAATAATCTTTAGGATTAACATTTAGGATTTCTTCTTTAAAAAAATAATTAAATACTTAAAAGCAGTATGCATTGCTTTAAAAAACACAATAAATACAAATAGCACTGAGAGAATTAATTAATCGAAAGTCATCAGCAGATGAAAATATTCATTATAATAATCATCTGAATACAAGTTGTTTAAAACTAGCTTCTGCTGAATCAGCCACAACATTAACATCTACTGCTTACACATGAACGCACAATGACGTACATGTAATACTTCAGTATTTACTTGAATCGTACTTTCAGTGCATGACTTTGACTTGCAGCAGAGCATTCTACAGTTTGGTTTTACTACAGCTGCCTGACAGACCTGAGTACTTCCTCCAACGCTGATGAAGATTATAATGTTCTTTATTGTTTTATGGAACTGACAGTGAGACATACTTTACTCCTATTTTGTGTGGCACTTTGATGACAGCGAGAGGAGGAGAAATAATACAAACAAGTTAATCAACAATATAAAGAAGGGAAGATTTATTTTTTAGTTTCCTAATAAACTGAAAATAACATCAAAACAACAAAAAGGGAAGAGCAGCAGTTAGTGGCAGGCTGAACCCTGTAGCTTTACCCTCGGGGTCACACAGCCTTGACCTCGGTGACTTACCTTTGTCGTGAGCCAGACGGGTGCACTTGGCCGTCAGATACTGGATCTGACTGCAGTCCTCGTCCCTTTGAGCTCGGAAAAACCTCCTCATGCTCATCTGTGTCCGAACTGCTCGCTCCGATCTCAAACCATGTTCCCGTGATCCTCAGGGCAGAGCGGGTGTGTCCTGCATGGTCACAGAGGGCACAGTGCGCACGTTTCCCGCAATGTTTAACTCCCCTGCTGCACGAAGTACGTGGAGCACACCTACACAGGGCGGGCTTCGCATTAATCCAAGGTGCTGTCTGTTTTCATAACAAGAAGGTGAGGCCTGCTGCTGCTGCTGCTGCTGCTGCTGCTGCTGCTGCTGCTGTTGTGTGCTTCTGTGTGTTTTGATGCCATCTGGCCATCTGCTTGAATAAATAAGGAAAAACTATGACTCCTTCCGTGCACAAATTAAAGGGTTGATGTGGCGTTATATGCAAAATTAGTGTTGAAATTCTCCCCCGAGGCAGCGAGAAAGCTGAGGGAGTCGGGCATGTTGTGTCTAGCAGGCAGGAGTCTTTATAGCAGCAGCCTCAGGTTAGAACTTTATAATACAGGATTACATAAGATGGTTAGGAGAGGAAAATGTCACTGACGTCAATAACATCTTGTATCTGATGCATTTATGAGTTGTGTTAGTATTTTTTAATAACCCGTTTAAGTATGAGGCATGTTTCCTGTTGTTTGTCTGTCACTGCAGATCTCATCCACATGGAAACTGTCTGAACATTGTCCAGTCACCAGAAAGCAAAAAAAAAAAAATCCAGAGGAGGTGTTAGTTATCTTTATTAAAGGATTTATTTTATAAGATGTTATTTGTAGACAGGCCAAATATTTAAAAGAAAAGTCCAAGTTTTCGGGATGTATTTGCTTTTTTGCAGCATCAGCTGAGGAGATCCAACAGGTGCCACTTTCATATTCATGTAGTGAACATGAGGCTTCAGCCCACAGGTGGCTAGCTTAGCTTACTTCAGCTTAGCATAACGAGAGTAGCAGGGGAAAATGGCGCTCCTGGCTCCAGTGTGTTCCCTCATCCAGGCAGAGCTGCAACGATCACTCAATCAGTCACCAACTATTTTGATAATTAATTAATTGGTTTGAGTAATTCTTATGAAGAGTTTAAAGTCTTTAATTTCAGCTTCTCATATTTGAGTATTTTCTGGTTTCTTTCCTCCTGTTTGACATCCATTATCTATACACCGCTTAATCCTCACTAGGGCCATGGGGAGCTGGAGTCTATCCCAGCTGACTTAGGGTGAAGGCAGGGGACACCCTGGACAGGTCACCAGTCTATCACAGGGCTACACTTAGAGACAGACAACCAAGCACACTCACATTCACACCTACAGACAATTTAGAATCACCAATTAACCTCAACATGTTTTTGGACTGTGTGGGAGGAAGCCGGAGAACCCGGAGAGAACCCACGCTGCACGGGGAGAACATGCAAACTCCACATAGGAAGATCCCGGGTGTCCTCACCAGGACAGGAACCGGCGACCTTCTTGCTGCGAGGCGACGATGCTAACCATCGAGCCACCTTGCAGCCTCTGCTTGACATTAAAATGTAAAATGTTTGGGTTGTGGACAAGACATTTGTCATCTTTGGCTTTGAGCAGCCCTGACTGACATTTTTCACCATTTTCTGACATTTTGTAGATCTAACAACTAACTGAACAATTAAAAAAAAAAAAAAAACTGACAGATGAATCAGCAATTAAAATAATAGTTAGTTGCAACACTAATCCAGGTCACAAAGGTTTTTGTAAATGAAATAGCCAGTGATGTTTGGAAACTAGAATCGTCCAAGACTCTTTCAACAATCTGGATGAAAAAAATATTTTGTCCACTGATAGTCCAATAAATCTATTAAATGACAAATACTCTGCTTTTAAGGAGGGGAGGAGAGGATTTTTAGCTTTTTCTCTGTTTCTGAATCCAGACAGCCTACCAGCTACCTGCACAGGAAGTGTTGGAACAAAGAAAATGGGTTCAAAACTCTTGTTTTTAGTGCAGAAGACAAAATCTAGTTGTTCTTGAGAGGACAGGGACGATGGCGCTGACTAAATGCAATGAAGGTGCTTGATGTTGATTGAAATATTTTGGAAGCTGTCACGTCAAGTGTTTATTTGTGTGAGCAGATATTAAGTTTCACTTGAAATAAGAAGCATAACGTTGCCACGGATGCGGTGAGTTCAACGACAGGCTGCAACATGAGGCCCATTTTGAAGCATATAGTCAGATATATTTTGAAAAAATAAAGTTTGACAAACTCTCCGTTAACAGTTTCTTTTTGCTGCGTACCATTGGATGTGCTGAAAACTTGTAATGAATGACTTTACATGATCTCATAATTACGACTGCTCTTCATTTTCCAACAGGTGTGGGAGGCTCAGTGTGCAGCACAATGCAGCTCACGGTCAGATTGTTCCGGGGCAGGAACAGAAAGCTTCAGATCTCACCTGAGAATCCTCAGATTTTTAAGATTCCTGCAGTTTCACAGTGATTTTGTTGTCACGATGGTGGTGTGCAGCAACAAACAAATAACAAATAAATTACAGCGCCATCAGCCCTGCCCTCTCAGGTAAAACGATTATTAATAACCACCACAACATTTTCACAGAATTTACAAGCTCTCTATTGTTTTTTTCTCTCTTTGTAATGCACTTGTGCTGTCAGAGCGTCTTTAAACAGCCATCTCGCTCACTGGTTTATTAACTTTTACAGAAAGCGACGTTATCATCTGTGACCAGAATGTGTGTTAATAAATGAAGGACACAAACGGGGGCTACTCTGACTCTGTCCAAAGGTCTGTCTCCAGTCTGTATGCTAAGCTAAGCTCAGCAGATGTTGGCTGATTTCCTCATGGAGCTCATTTTAAAAGTTTGCCCGAAAAAGAAGTTCATTATTCTGAGGTTAAAACTTTTGAACCTCCGTCGTAGCATTCTGGAGATAGAAAAAAAGAAGCACGAAGTATTATCTAGGAGCATCTTGAAGTCAAAGAAGCTACTTATAAATAAAAATATTCATGATAGATAGAAGGCACAAGAAGCTAGATTTGAGTTACTCCCACTCCCCACTGCGCTCTCATTTCCTACCAGCAGAGGGACACAAACTTCCAGTAAGGAAACCTTCATTTCTTTTCTTTCACAGATTTTTCATATAAAGATAATTATCATTTTGTTTCTGAAGCTTTTGCTGCGTAGAGACAATAATCAGCATCAATGAATAGACAATGTGTGTTAATCTTCCTGCAGCACCACGTGTGGTTCAAGCTTAAAAATCATAAAGTAAATAAGATCATCTTTACATATGTTGTGATTTCCTTCTTGCTTTAAGCTGTGGAGAAGGCTGTTTAACTATATAATAATTAGGGTCAGAAAACGAGCTAGTAGCTATTTTTATAATCAAATCAATCATTTATGGGGACAAATTATCCACCTTTCCAGTTTTAAACCTCTCAGAAATAGGAATTTGATGCTCTTCTTTGTTACACAAGATCCATCCATCCATCCATCATCTATACACCGCTTAATCCTCACTAGGGTCATGGGGGGCTGGAGTCTATCCCAGCTGACTTAGGGCGAAGGCAGGGGACACCCTGGACAGGTCACCAGTCTATCACAGGGCTACACTTACAAGCACACTCACATTCACACCTACGGACAATTTAGAATCACCAATTAACCTCAACATGTTTTTGGACTGTGTGGGAGGAAGCCGGAGAACCCGGAGAGAACCCACGCTGCACGGGGAGAACATGCAAGAAAGATCCCGGGTGTCCTCACCAGGATGCGAACCGGCAACCTCCTTGCTGCGAGGCAACAGCCACCGTGCAGCCTTGTCACACAAGATTGTAAAATGAATTCATTTTGGGAGTTTTGGGACGTAGTTTAACAAAACAAGAATAGCTTCGGGTGTCAGCGTCCATATAAAGGGTATTTCCACTGCTTTTTGGTTTGTGTAGACTAAAATAATAATAATAAAATTTAACAATTTTGCTTGTTCGCTTGAGTGTAGTATTGTGATGATTCCAAGTGCTTCTCGTCGACAACATAAACTAACTAGGCCACTCAGATATCAGCGAAGTATGTTCCCTGTGAGGAGTCTCACTGATGCAATCTGGCAAAGTGAAGTGAAATCCAGCTGTAGTCATTCAAAGGAGAGGATGTTCAAAAATGGCGTTTATTTTAAAAAAAAAAAAAAAAAAGAAAGAAAGAAAAAGAAAGAAACCACCATGCTGACTTCTGCATCGTTAACACAAATGCTGTAGATAGAAAATGGTGTTGGACATTGACACAGAGCGTCCCACAAAATAAATAAATACAACATCCTCCCAATATCTGTGGAAGAAACAAACAAAAAGAAAAAACAGAAACGCTGAGAATCCCGTCCCACAGCTACAAACCAGACTGTGTCACATCAGGGAGTTAACACCAGACGACAAAACAAAAAAGAGAACTTTCGACATATTTAGCTTAAAATTCATACAGTGTCATACACACGCCTCAGGAAAACAATATGGAGGTACCCTGCTTGTCCAATCACAGACAGGCTCACAGACTGTCACCAGTGTTCAGATTCAGAGGACTTACATTATAATGTGCACGAGTCATGTCAGTAGTTTAGTTTCAAACAGAAAGTAAAAAGCTGCCGCCATGTGGTGCTTTTAATACGAGCAACGCCTTCGCTGAGGTTGATCTCGGGTAACAGATATAAAGGTTGACTCTATAGCAGCCTTAAATTTGTTGCAGCGAAAGCCAGTTGGCATTTTGAGCCCTGGGTTCCCCCGTTGGATTTTCAGTGCTTTTCTTCCCCCGTGTGATTTGATTTCTGCTCCTGCTAATTTGACCTGTTCACCGTCAAGTGTTCTGAAGATGTCTGAGCCTCACGTATGAAGCTACAACGGGCTAAACAGCTAGCCGGGCTCTGTCCCATCCAAATAAAAACATCTGTTAGCATCTCTAAAGCTCACTGATTAGCAAGTCATGTCTTGTTTGATTAATCTGTCCACAAGGAAAAACATAAAGCTGATAGTTAGTGGTTTTGGAGAGAGTTACGTGTTGGAAATATAGCAAATAATTATGTACTGAACAAAATAATGCAGCATGTCACAATGAATCAATGCTATCTGTTCCTTTTTGGAACAGGGGAATAAGTGTTAGTTGTTCCAACTCAAGGCATCTCTGTAACAGACTGCTGGAGATGATAGCAGGCAGATGGAGAGTCGGGTCATAGACCAGAAATCACAAGTCAGGGTGTCCAGCGTTTGCATCATGTAGTGACACACATCTGTGACGCACAGAGGAAATAATGCTGTCGATGCTGCTGGTGGAATGTTGTCCCACTCTTCCTGAAAGGCTGAAGGACATTTTAAGGAACGGGACCATGTCGCTGGACACGCCCATCCAGACAAACGATTTCTTAGATGATTTCTTTCTCGTGTCGTCTGTGACACAGTTTAACTTGAATATTAGCTGCATTTTGAGGAGGCCTTAACAGTCCCTGCTCAAAGGAGTGTCAGTGTAGCGGTCACACTGTCTGATCATCGTCCTTTAAAGTCACACTGATGAGGCTGTGGATTACCTCAGGGGTTGAGAAGCTGTTACTGCTTAACAGCTCAAAAATTTTTGTAAACAGTTGGTTTAAATTTACTGCAGCTAAATCACAAAACTTGCTCTAAAACTACAAATTGTCAGTTTCAGATTTCTGCTTGTGTACAGATTAAACAAAACACCTGATATTTAGTGAGCTTTAGAGAACTCGGTAGGCATATTTTGGAGATTCAGACAGTCTAGCGTTTCCTTGTTCCTAGTCTTCATGCTAAGCTAAGCTAATCTCTCCCAGCGTCATACTTAACACTTCTAACTATATATATGATATATTTATAGAAAGGTAGAACTGTTCCTCTAATACAAGGTTTATTTGCTGCATGTGTGGTTATAAAATCATAAAAAGGCAATCAAAAAATGGCAATTAAAATGGAATTGTGGGACAAAATGTGTGAATAATTCCACTGGAAATCTGCTGTGCATGGAAACCCGTGGAGAAACAACCCTCTGGGCTCAGGATGTAAAAACTAAAACCACTTTATTCTTGCAATAAAAGGAAAATATAAGTAAATTGCCTTTTTTTTTTTTAAAGAAATTAAATCTTTTCTCTTCCAGAGAGCACATTTTCAAACAGTGCAATCTACAGGAAAACAAGTACACAAACAAAAAAGCATCTAAAACTCAAACCTGCATCACAACACACCAGCGCGCCCACAAGGCAGCAGATGCTTAATTCCTTGTTTAGCTTCCACTAATGCAACAGACTGGAGCGCTGCACCTGACCGACTGCCGGTCCTGCTTATCCAGGAGCCGCAACAGATCTCACGAACCAGCAAACAAACTTTCTACACGCAAGTTAGTACTCGGTATTAAATCCTACAACTTTAGTGTGTTTTTACAATGGAAATGCTGGTGTGAGGGAATGCACGTGCGCCAGATCTGGATCTAATGTGCTGAAATAACACTGAATTGAGCACAGTATGAGGGAGTCACAATTAAAAGCTTAAAGGCTGTTAGTGACTGACTAGGCCTTGGTTATAAGTAGCACAGGTCTTACGGTAGCATGGACGAGTTTCCAACCAGTCTGCTGTCCTCAAGCTAATCCTACGCTGGCTGGTAGCAGCAATAGGCTTTTCATGCTTTCTTGACCTGACAAGGTGAGGCTACCTCAGACATACAGTGAGGTAAGAGCAATCAGATGCAGAGTAACATGGTGAATAAGCAGCCTGCGCCCTGTCGGCGCCTGGGAAATCACTGCATGAGGTTAATTTGATCCCTGCAGCGACGGTGCGGGTGTTCAAGTGAATTCTCACACGTTGCCCCTGAACAACATCTTCTTGTTTTGTGTGATGAGAAATATTTAAACCACATTTACACACGTAACAGGGGTCAAAAGATGTGTATCGTTGGTGGCAGTAACAGCCGGGTACTTTCACAAACACACATGTTCTAGGCAAGTTCACAGCTTAGTGTTGGTCACATTACGTTAGCTGACAGAAATCTGCATTATATCATCAGAATTTTCACACTTTAATGTGACAAGAAACCCAAAGAAAACGCAGTTTTAATCCAATAAGCCCACATCAAATGGAGACATTTTGTCTAGTTGTGAGTGCTGAAATTTGAGCTCATACTGTGCAGATTCTCTATCAGTTTTCTGCTGCTTTAAACTCAGATCAGCACTTATGCTGGAAATGCACACCCATTGCAAAGATAAATAGAATTTTTAATGTATCTGCTAATTGGAAACAGGAGGCCAGACGGCTCTGACTACGTCTTTTTCGACTCTGGACATTCAATTGGATTCGTTTTAGCATATTTTTTACAGATAACAAAAGCAGCTGTTCACCAGCTCCTATCAGCTCCAAACAACTCAAATGAAAGTGGACACAAATGGAGATAAAATTCACAACACAGAAGTCAGAGAGCACAACTTAAAAAATGAGTCACATCCAACTGAGAGTCAGCATTTTCCATCCCACTTGTGTCAGTTCAATATGATGCAGGCGGTAAAAAAAAAAAAAGAAAGTATTGCACTGGTTTGGTGTGAGTCTATGGATGGGTGGTCATCATATAAATAACAACAGCAAGAACCAAACAGTAATACCATAATAATAACGCTAATAAAAACAGTTCAGACTAAGGTCCCCCTCCCTCTGCTGTTTTACCACTGCTGCCAACTGAAGTCGTCGTTGGATCCGAAGACGAGAAAGAAGCCCAGGATGGTCCCGAAGATGACTACGTTGCCCGTTAGCACGAGTGCACACGCCCCCCAGGCGATCTGTAAAGCAGCGCATTAATAATTCAGGTTAACAAATGCTGCTGCAGAGCTGATTTAGGACAGAATCTTAACAGACGTGTCAACAGTTAACAGAGTCAGTTCCACATTCGGCTCAGGTTCAGCTCTCTGCAAAGTACTCTGTAACAGTTGAAGTGATTTTGTTTGGGTTTTTTTCTCTCCATGGTCCAAGAACAGACCCAATGGAGACCCTGTACTAAAACAACAAAGTTCCGCAACGTACTCTACGTTTACATTTTAACATACTATTTCCCACAAGTCTGGAGATATTCAGTAACATCACACAGGTGTCTTTTCTCTACATCAAGAGTTCCTTAACTTTTTGATTTGTGACTCTTTGAAGGAAAGCAGCGTTCAGTCTCTTTTATCATTGTTTTATGTGAATTGTTGGACCTCAGCCTCTGACAATTATTACACAATCACCTGATCACCATTATTTGCCTCAACTGTGATCCTTCTGCATAAAAGTTAGAATAATGTCCTTTCACTTGCATAAAAACAGCTGGACGAAGCTCACAGAAGCGTCATACTACAATCACTACTACCACGTTGTTCTTCCACTTTGTGTTCTGTTTAATAGCACCAACTGTTCATCTCAAGGTGCTTCACTCCCAATACGTGACCAACTTTATGTTGTTAAACATCAACTGAAATTAACGCCACAGCAATGCCATTTAAGCCAAATGAAAAAGGAGAATCCAGTAACTTGAAGAAGATTTGCCAGAATTGCTGCAAAAAGGGGGCGTTCAAAAACATTACACCACTAAATCCAAAATAAGCAGAGGCATAAAATAAGAGAAAAACACAATTAATGGTTTGGCAATTAATTGTCAAATCAAATTTTATGGTCATGACATCATGAACTAGTTACACCAGCTGTTCAATCATCCAACACTAAGTCTTCCCTGGATTTTTAGCAACAAATCAGTAAATTACTGGATTGGGTTGCACCAGTAAAACACAAGTGGTGTCTTAGCAAGTAAAGTCTTGAGTAAAACTGGTAAATTGCTAAATGGCATCTGCACCAGTGTCCAATCAGAACGCTTTCAGGACTCTATCAACTGCAGCAAAGGATCCATCACAACATTTAATTGGAGTCGATTGTAATCCTGAGGCCCATTTTATACGTTTTCAGCCTGTGAACTGTAACATGCAACATGAGAACACTTTCTCTTGTGTTAATTATGTCACTTCTAAGGTATAAAACAAAAGGCTAGGGGTGTCCAAGGCAACCCGATGGCTGAGTGGCTGACCGTCCAATAGGGAGGATATTAATAAGCTCGCCTTCTACAATGAATAAAACTGTACTGTCTGGCAGTGGCGGTGTAAATATGTAAACCTACTATCCTTTGATGATTTTGAGTAAAACTGGTGGCATTATACATAAGAGCATGAATTTCTGCTTCATGTGATCAGTAGCATGTTCTGTTGGGGTTGGACAGCTGGGAGGAGATTACTGAGAAACAAAGGTTTCTTCCAAATGATCACTGGACTCCAGGACTCCAGGCAGCCCCAAGAGTAACCAATAGAAGACTGAACAACTTGACTAATTGAACTTAATACTTTTTTGTGTGTGTGAAATGGAATGCTGGTACCACTAGTAAGCAGCACTCCTAATCTGCTTTTGTAAAACTGGCTCACGGCTGAATCGATACCATCCACATTACTGTAAAGACAAAGCCTGTGCAGCCTGTCATCATTACTTGCTAACAGTGAATGTGCTCTTTGTTTTGGTACCGCATTCATCTCATAATCACTAAGTATAAATGTTTAGTAACAATTAGGAACTATGAAAGAACTAGCTTGTGTATGGCTACCTGCTTTAACTGTGGGTCGTTCAGGACGTAGAAAATACAGCTCAAAGTCATAAAAACTAAATGTAATTATTGGAGGGTTCCCGCCCTCCATTTGGAACCACTGCTCCTGTTCATCATCATGAAGAGCACTGATAAGCTGCAGGCAACTTACTACTTCAGCTCTTGCGAAGACGATGGGCAAGCCGAAGGCTGAAATGACGATGCCTGTCGTGAGAAAGATGGCTAGCTCTTTGCAGGCGTTACTGGCCGAGTCTGTGTCATCGACCACCCTCCGCGAGATGCAGTAAGGGATGGGAGAGAGGATGTAGAAGAAGAGGAGGAACAAAGGCCAGTATTTGCTGCAGAGAGGGGAGAGAAAAAAAAAAGGGAGAGAAACGGGGAAGTGAACGAGACATAAACACCCACATGCTGTGATGATAAAGGAAGCAGTGAAGTGAATTGAAGGATGAAGGAGCAAAATGCTGTTCAGCACTTGGCTCACTAACTTCTCAGGTGTTTTTTAGAGGATGGAGCTACATTTCTATAATCTTTGGAGGGCAACGTTAATATTTTAGAGTTAAAATATCAAATTTAATCATATCCATCAATCCTTATGTAAAGATAAGGGTGGCTTACATTCAGGTTATTACGGAGTTGCATTTAAGATACTGCATGTATTTAGTGACAAATGAAATGCTAACATAATAACAGCTGATGGCTGGTGTTTTGCTTACATGGTGGTCTGGATCAAGAAATGTAAGCTGCCACCCACACCTCAGATTTCTTTAGGAACTCAAATATGTCTGGTGTTTGGTCACCTTCTTGTACAGCGACAGTAAATACCTGACGAGTCACAGTCTTGAAAAATAGCAACAGAAGTTTGGGTAAGACACCCATCAGAACCAACAACCCTTAAATCAACCTGTCACTTTGATTCTCATGAAAAACATGTCGATTCTACATACAAGCGCTCCAGCAACGCCTCTGTCGACTGAAAACGATCAAACAAATGTTCCTACAAAATACACCAACTCCTCCTCCTGATCAGAAATAGAGTAACGTGTCAGTCTGTGTGAAAAAAGAGAATCGCACAAAAAAAGGTGTGTTTTTCAAATTACTAAGCCATAACCCTGGTGAGCATGTGAAACTCCACCAAAGACAACACTAAACAAAAGTCCCAGAAGCAGCGACTGAACATTGTGTCGGAGCAGGATGATTTAAAATTCATCTGGGGGTGTTGTCAGGGCAACGGATCCTTACTGACAGTCAGCTGGATCATGACCAAGACATTTTAGAGTGAACCCCGTTTGTAAACTCATTTTCCAAGTCCAATTAGTTCAATTAGCTGAGGAACAAACCACAATTATTGTGAACTGAAAACTGATTGAAACGAGCCAACGAGCAGCGAAACTGTGAAAATGCGTCGCCTACTCAAATGACAAACGATGACAAAATAACAGTAATCATATCACAACTGAATCAAAACAATAAGACACAATTCAGTGCAGTGAATGCGTCTCCTGCTGAATTCCTTTTTCATGAGACAAGTTGTCGCTTTTTAAGTAGAAGTCTATCTGATCCTGTGATTTCTAAGAGCCGACACAAGGTGAACCTTCGGCTTCAGTCTAAACATGTGGTTGTTGTTGTTGTTGCTGCTGCTGCTGTTGTCTATTGTAATGTTCCATTAATTGAAGCACCTGATTAACAAATGTATCCTGAAACTGGTCTCAAAGGATGAATGAGAGTTGACAAAGGCACTTTAGGCTTGATTCATACTAACGGGTGAATCTACACCATATGTACGGCACAGGAACAACCCCCACAACATGTAACTACACACTGTGGCCATACAGAACGCAACAACTGTGACGTAACTGCCACTTACAACTACTTTTCCATCTATTAATCTATTAGCGATTTTACTGATTAGTAAATTAATCGAAACAATTGCAAAACAGAATAATGACATTTCATTAAAGTTCATCTTATTTTGACAAGCTGCAGAAGAGTGTAAAAATCTATAAAAATGTATTACATTTTATATAAGACAGCACTGCAATTTCAAAAGAAACACAAGTTTCTATTAAACCTCGAAGTGAAAAATTTCAGTCTGTAAATTGAACAAACTGCGGCATAGACACAGTGGATATTTTACAGGTATGGAGCAGCTAAAGAAACTCATGTTCTCCTCATTGTGTAAATCAAATTCTGTGGAAATATAGAAAACTGCATAGCACAGCTGTCGTCTTTAACTCGTGCATGGTGAATCTGTCAGCCGCTGTCACAGTTAGAAGAGCAGGATTTTAGCGGTGCAGAGCTGCAGTTTGGAAGTGACTGCTGGTTAAAACGTAGTCTGAATGGGCTGCGTTTCAGTCACTATTTCATACTCGCTCTGCCGTCTGACAACTGAAACGGAAAAAGATGTAAATGAGAACAGTTTCTTTGGGAATTCGGCTGAAATAAAAAAACATCACATGTGAGCACAGAGAGCAAGAGAGAAGCAGTCAGATGTAAAGTGCCTCCTGTGTGTTTTCTCTTCAATGTTCGAGCATTGTGTTGTGCTGTTGTGGTATGACACTGAAAGTCAGCACTGTGTACAAACCACCCTACACTTTTCCTCCAAAGCCTCAGGAATTAGAAAACTTCTACACTTGATGCAATTATTGTCTAACAAAGTATCGCTGATCAAAATGGCTCCAGGTTAGTATTGGGGTGCCCAGGAGCCTCCAAGAAGGTTTATCTGGCCATGTGCCTGCAGCTGTATTTAAAACCGTAAAGCTGGGATGGGATCACCACAGGTGGACCTGAGTATCACGTGTGAACAATGACCCTCACACACACACACACACACACACACACACACACACACACACAATCCCAGGCTCACATGGTGTGTGACAGTTGTACTTACTCGTACACAGGGAGGGCACATCCAAGCATGAGGAACATGAGGCCGATGGCCCCCCCAAAGGAGAGGCTGATGAGAGCTGTAAGAGAGGCAGAGCTGGTTGGATGTGCAGTGTGTAGCCACACAACATCAACAGTGCCAGTGTGCAGCAGGGCCCCTGGATACTCATGTGATGAATCAGCTGATTCACGTGTAACAGCTACATTAGCAGGCTTAGCCGTGCTATTAGAGGCACACGTTAAACTCTGAGAGAAATGGCCCCCGTGGTTGTTTGCTAACAGAAATTAATCCCAGCAGCTCGGCAGCAACAAGCGCAGCATCTCAATGAGCGCCTGAAGTTAAGGTGCAGCTAGCGTTAGCATTACAGCGGTAATTACTACGTTGTTATACGAGTGAAAGAGAATGGCATTAAATACGGTGTCATAATGCACCATTACATGGCTGCGGTGTGTTGGATAGAAAACTAAACAACGTAAACAATGATATTAACCATGTAGCGGTTGCTTCTTCAATAAAGAGTGCAGTTTATTCAGCTAGCTAATGCTAACGACTGTGTTGGCCCTGCGGCTAACTACTTGTACCGTTAGCTAGCGGGACGTGACAAACGCAACCGTCCGTCTGCAGCACGTTTACACACAACTACACTGACTGGGCCGGAATTCAGAAGTCTTCTCGCGTCAATACAAAAAGCGAGGACCGCTTACCTTTAATCCCGGCCATTTCTCCTGGACAAAAGCTCGACTCACAGCCCTGACGAGTGACAACAGTGCCCCCTCCTCCGCTGCCGAGTCCGACTGAACCTCCAACCCTGCCCGGCCTGCCGCCTTCCGGTGCCGCCGCAAAGCTCGGAATTAAACCCGCTCGCACAGTGACAGTCTCACAAATGTGCAAAAATGAAGCGTGCACAGCTGCAATGAAATAATCGAACAGTTATTGATCGAAAGGATGGATCATTTATCGCACAAAACTGTCAAACTTTACCTGTTTTCAGCTTTTACATCTGTGATTATTTGCTTCCTGTTTATGCAATAGGAGCGTATCGGGGCTGCAGCTAGCGATTGTTGTCACTACAGACTAAATTACTGGGTTTTAGCCCATAAAATGTCAGAATACTGTTTTAGAAACTCAATTTGTGTATGTCAACTAGCAATATTACTTTGTGAATTGTCTGCGCAATATGAGTTTCAGTCTTGCGTGCAGTGTTTCAGTGTTTCTGTGCAATATTTCATGATCATATGCAATGAGACTTGGCTACATCAGTAATCCAATTATATTGAGTTTGTTGTCATAAAGAAGAAAGAAAGCAAAAATATTAAAATTTCAGACGCTGTAACCAGAGAATTTAGACTGTTTTCTAAAATAAAAAACAGAAAGAATCGAATTGTTTACTTGACTATAACAATAGTTTTCAATTAAGCTGAAAGTTGACAACTGATTGATTAATTGTTGCAGCTCTCTGATTATTCAGGATGTAGACTGACTGAAAATGAATCTGGAAAGTTGTGATGATGAGCTAACAGTTACAGCTGCAATGATTTATCAAGTAACCTTGAAAACATAATCAGAGTTCAACTTTTTTTTTTTGTTCTAAGAAAACTGCCATATATTTGCCAGCTTCAGCCTCTAGCATTGAGCATTTGATCGGATTAAACTGGTTTTGGGGGTTCTAGACTGATCTGTAAATAATTCTGTGCTTGTACTATTGTTTTTTTTAAATGTATATTTTTATACTTACACTATTTCTTATATGTATTTTTTTCTGTCTAGTATGTGTGTATCTCTGTGTGTACTGCTACTGACAACACTGTAAAATCCTCCACTGTGAGATTAATAAAGGCATATCTTATCCTATCTTAAATAAATCAAGACATTTGATTATGTTATTTCTGGCATTTCAAGATTTTCTCAGATTAATTGCTAATGAAAATAATTGTTACCTCCTTTGGTGTAACAGTTATTTTATTATCCATCCAGCATTTCTCTGATTCCAGTGTCTTAAATGTGAAAGTCTACTTTTTAAATTTGTGAAAATTGATTATTATCTATTGTTACCCAATTCATTGTGATAAAAACCAGAAAATATTCCCATTTAAGAAGCTGGAATTAAAGACTATAGATTTTGTTTTATTTAAAATGTGCTCAAATTGATTCATCGTTCATCAAAATAGTTGGAGATTCATTGAATAGTTCTAAACATATCAGTTACTTGATTAGTTGTTGCAGCTGTAAATATTAGATGTTTTCATTTTGCACAGAGAAAACAAGCAAACATCAGCTGACCACTGAGAAAATCTCAAGCAGAGTAACTGATGATCTCAAAGGTTAGCTTCTGCCCTGAAATTATTTGATTGTAGTTTCCATCAGGGCTGAACAGTTTCATGAAATGTTATTATTTTTGCAATATGGTTGAACAATGTTCTAACTACAGGTGCTTCAATTTTTTGGAAGTATTCTGCGGAATAGAATTAATCAATATACAAATTGTGTTCTCCATGAGAGTGGGGTGCTGCATTTGATTGATATACAGTCTGTGGCCCACAGTGACACGAGGAAGCTCGTTATGATGGGAGCATTGCATCGCGTAAGGATAAGATCAAATAAATAGTAGAGGATTTATGAGACTCAGCAGCTGCCTGGGAGGTTGCACTACACTAAATGTGCCACAAGAAAATAAAAACACTGTATTAGAGTCAGAGTGGACTGATGTACAGTATATGATAAAATTGATGCGTATCTGTTCTTTCAGACTTGTACTTTCTACATGGATTTGTGTGTCTTGTATGTGTTTGGTTATTTGTGAAACATCTCACACTCCACAGGCAAAGTACCATTGCCACAGTGTTGCGCTGGGTAATCATCCTTTATAACCAATTCCATGTGAACAAACATAACTTTTATTGATTCTCATTCAGGCTGGGAACACTCACACCAGACTGCAGTCTTTGCAGATCATCCGGTCAGATGGTCAGTGGGTGTCTGTATTTCACTTTGAGCTTATGTGTATAGATCATATAAAAAATATAAAGGCAGCAAGTAAATAATGTTCTTTTCTGTGACACCATGCCACAGCTCTCAAAACCGGCCATTGTCTTCTGGATGCTGCACGTCAGTTAGGGCTGTGGTCAGACACTTGAACATCCAGAGCTCCACCATGTATCATCCAAGAAGTTATTTCAGACAGCGAGGAGCGAGAGACAATCTGCTAGGTGATGCTCTGGATGGACGTGTCTGTTTACGCAATTCTGTCCCCTGAAACATCCACTAACCGAGCCCCTCCGAGAGAGTGGGACAGCATTCCACAGGTAGCATTGAAAACCTCATTAACTCACAATGCACAATGTAACTGATGTAAACACACAGTTGTAATTTCTAGTCTGTGACCCCCCCACTCAATCTGCCTGTTATGATTTCCATCATCACTGTACTAAGTAGTTTAATGACGTCCATCCTTGTGATTCAGTGAATTTATTTGTATTTATTTAGCGCAATTCACAGCATGTGTCATCTCACAGTGCTTAACATAGTAAAGTGAGCCCTTACACAGTTTAAACAGAGAACCCAGCAATCCAAAGTTGCCTCCATCTGAGCAAGCGGTTGGGGAATCAGACAGAACCAGGCTCCGGTAATGACGCCATCTGCCTCGACTGGTTGGGGTGAGAGTGGGGATGGGGGATTTGAGGATAGCAGGGTGGGTTGGGGTGGGGGTAGCAGGATAGCAGATGGAGGGCAAGCAATTCAAATAGATCAATAAATATTTTGGAAGTCAGTCAAGACAGTGACTGCAGGTCAGAGAGGTGAAGCTCCACATCCAGAGACATCCGCAGAGAGAACAAGCACAGTGACAGTACATAGGGACGCTATATGAAAAAATAAACTAAACAAATATTCCCCTATGTTAAAATAAATGTATATGGCTTTATAAAATATTAATTGCTGCTTATATTGTTGTTCAGTATGGCTTTGTTGTTGTCTGTGTGTCCCGCAGCGGTTCTTCTTTCTCCGACTCTGTGCGTCGGCAGTGAAGGCATCATTTGGCTGCGACACAACTTAAATAAAAAAATTTTATAAAATATCCCAAATATGTCAAGTCTCCATATACACTTAAACCACACCGACGTTTATGACTCGGATGTATTTATTTGGCTGGTTATAGTTTTGAAATGAATTAATACGGTTGCCACTGACCCGGCGGTGAACTCCTTCTGCTTCCTGCGTCCCGAGCGTCCATTCAGCGAAGATGGCGAGCGGAGGAGTGTCGGTGGCTTCGCTGTGGACCGAAGTGAACCGCTGCGGGCAGAATGGAGACTACACCAGAGCCCTGAAAGCTCTCTCTAAACGTAGGTACTCCTGTCTGTCAGCGGTGGGTGTGAAAACAGGAGCGGAGCGGCGGAGAGACAGCGGACTGACGGTGTTTTTCTTCTGCTCCCAGTTAGCACGACCAGACGTTAGCATGCGGCTAAGCTAACCGCAGATATGCAGCTTGTAGGTCTAAAAAAACAACAGCGACGCTGCTCTCAGTGTCAAACTACTGCTCAATATGGCGTTTTTAAGAAGTGTAGCCAGCAACTCAGCTGTTGTCTGCGTCTGTTGTGTCTTAACAATAGACTATTTTGCCACAGAAGTGCGCCGTCGGTCTGTGATTACTGACGTGTCCCTAGCCTGACAGCTAGCTTATGGCTAGCTAAGTCGCTCTCCTGAAGACCCGAATAGTTTCAGTAAAAATCACTGGACTCCTCTTTTTGGTTTGTGAAGACAGTATCAGTATGTCCTACATATCGAAGAATTCTGTGCGATATCTATAATTTCAGCATATTGAAGTATCGTTAGCAATTTACATATAGAATTATCTGCACTATATGTTTCTAAATACAGCAGAACTCTGCAGTGTTAATGCTTCAGTGATTGTTTATAGGAACATGTCATATTGTAATGAATCATAGGGTGATAAGAGGGTGGGAGTTGATAAGTTTATGCTTCTTCCTGCTCCTTCTCGAACTCATGTTTGTACATTTTTCCCCCCTTGTTTTTAATTTTGTTTTTAATTTTACTTTTGTTCGAAATAAAATATTTCATTCATTCATTCATTCATTCATTCACTCACTCACTTCGCTGTGTAATATATTTCCCCTGTCACTATCGGTATATTGAGTATTATTAAGTTGTATTATGTACATTTCGTTGCCATTCTTACTCTGTACTGATGTCCTTGTGTTTTTGCTGTATCCCTTTTGCAGCTATAGCACTACCTATCTCACCTCTGTAGGCTCAATAAAGAATGATCTTATCTTAGTATAATGGCATGGGTTATTGAGAATCTACATCTTTCTTCGAAACCTTTATTCACTGTGTATGCTTCTCTTTCTTATCCTGTTTTTGATCATTAACTCAGCGTGTGGTCCAATTTTGTTAATCTGCATCACTGAGCGTTTTTCTCTTTTCCTCCCACAGTTTTGCACGAAAACAGGGACGACGTGACGGCCCTTCACTGTAAAGTAGTCTGCCTTGTTCAGAATGGGAGCTTCAAAGAGGCGCTGAATGTCATGAACACCCATTCTAAAGTGCTCGGCAGGTAAACAACACACTGTCGCTCACCTGTGCTCATCTTCAGTTGGAATAATTATATTATCTCCATTCATATCACACAGGTATAAAGTGCTTTAACGTAAAAACAATGGTGGGAGTCTGTCTGGCAGCCAACTACAGAACATTTGGTGTGCATTGCTCAGGGCTCAGACGTTACAGAGTTAGCGAAAGCATCTTTAGAAAGTACATAAACCTGATCGATTGAGAGGCAGCTGCATATTCTGAATGGTTCACCTGGGAGCAGCGGGCTGTGAAGGGGCAATATTACACAAAGTTTGAGCGAGACGACTATCGGCTAGGTAGTTGTGAGGTAGCATCAGGGTCAAATCGTTACTTGTTTGTAAAGCTGGGAGGCTAATTAGTTGTTAGAAGGACTTGAGGAAAGAAGTAAACGTCTTCATATCTTTACATCTCCAAGTTTATAAGCATCACAAAACACAATTGTGTTTTTTCGCCATATGGTTCTTATGTCAGTGCCTAAACTGACAGGTAACCAGTGAAGAGCAGCAGAGTTGTTGGGATAAGAAAAGATCAGCCTTTATTTATCTCACAGTGGAGAAATTCACATTGTTGACAGCAGCATTACACACAGAGACACACACATACCAGACAGAAAAATGTACATATAAGAAATAGTGCAAACAAACAAGAATAAAAGTACACACAAAAACAGAATAGTTGGTGGTGGCTTTTAAAAGTCTGGCAGCAGCAGATTATGATTTTGTTGCAGTCTCTGTATTATTTGCTCCCTGATATCAGAATAAAGAACGCTGCGGCAGTTGAGTCTGGAGGAGATGCATGATCGACCTTTTCCAGATCTGCAGGTGAAATTAATGACCTGATATTTGTTAAATATATCAGATGGAGAAAGTGGGACTGCACATCTACAGTCATGCATTTGAAAGTGACGCAGACATTACAGACCTCTGTTGTTAACATGATCGGACAAGGACATTGTTAATGCTGCTGGAGCTGAAGCTAGCAGGTGTGTTTATTTAAAAGTCTGAACTTCATGCAGGCCTTGACTTGAAAAATGTACAATTTTAATATTAACAGTTATGTGACTAAACAGTTTGTAGACTGGTGGAAATTTAATCTGCAAAATTGTGAAAATGAGTTATCATTCATAGCTACAATCTTTAGTTCTTTAGTCCAGACATTCTGATGAGTGAATAAGAATTTTAGTCTTTTTTGTCCTTCTTTTTTTTTTGTAATAAAAATGGCAAAGTATTTACTGATTCCAACCTCTCAAATGCAAGAATTTAATATTTTTGTTGTTGTTGTTCATGAATCGAATATTTTTGGGGATTTAGAAAGTCTGTTAAATAATAAAATTACAAGAATGAATAATAAATTAATTAAATATTTTTTGTTTCCAGCTTCTCGATTGTGTTGCTTTTTTTAAATGGCTGTTCATTGACAATCTTTAGATTTTGGACAGCTGGCTGAAACAAGATGTGATATTTTTACCTTTTTATAAACTAAATTTGTTGACAGTTCAAGTTTAGTTGTGGAGCTAAAGTCTTTTTCAAAAAGAATTCCCAGTTTTCCTGAGTGGTGAAGCAGCTCTCACACACAAACAGCTAATTAAGAGCTAAACCAAACAGCTCTGTGTTAAATTTGACTTTTCAAACAAACAAATCTGCGGTAAGGCCTTAACATTCTTACACTATCAACAGATTTTGAATTCTTGCAATGTTCGTATATTTAAATGTGTATATACAGCAGACAAGTGGTTAACTTTCATGGATCAGGAGCTGAATGTTCAGATTAGCTCTATCAGGAGGTAGCCAGTGGAGATGTTGGAGATTCATAATGACGTATCAGATTCAAGGCATGAACACATTAATTTCTGTGTAAAATCAATTTACTATAAACCACGCCATTTTGCACTTTTGCAACGTTCCTGTCTTGCTTTTCACTCTAAACTACTAAACTGCTGGCGAAGTGTCCTGTTTGTGATATTTTCTCCTTTTAAAATCTTCTTTATTCATCTTTTTCCACAGTGAGGTTGTGTTTGAGAAGGCATACTGCGAGTATCGGCTGAACAGGGTGGAAAGTTCTCTGAAGACCATTGAAGGTGCTCCTGAGCAGACAGACAAGCTGAAGGAGCTCTACGGTCAAGTGGTGAGTTTCACCAAATTTAGATCCTCCTGTCTTCTCTTTTTTTTTGTAGATTATAATGATTATTTGCTGTTTGGATGAGAGAAGTGAGTGTTATTGGCCACCTTCCTGTTACAGTTGTCCGCCAGAATTAGCATGTTGCTAATGTAAGCTCTTCTAAGGTGCAGATTATTGATATGTAGCGTCATATAATCTTAAACATCATGACTTGTGCAACCAGATTTCAAAATTATAGAGATGAAGTGCTGTAAGATGCTAGCAAATGACTAATATTTCTTTCTGCACAATCTGGAATATGGTGCCACTGTAACACCACATGATTGATCGTTGATACAGCCCTTAGCGTTGTTATTAGCTGTTAGCTTAATGTTTTGGCTTTTGTAGCAGTGTGCTCCCGACAGTTCTTGTTGTGAGAAGGTAAAGACGTCTGCTGAGCTGACCTGGCTGTTTTTCCCTCTCTAGTTATATAGACTAGAGCGCTACGATGAGTGCAAGTCCGTCTACACAGACCTGATCAGGAACTCCCAGGACGAGTACGAGGAGGAGAGGAAGACGAACCTGGCTGCTGTGGTGTCTGCAATGAGTCAGTGGGAGAAGGCTCCAATGGTACACAACTGTTCATATGCCTCTAAATGCAAAAGAGTAAACACTTCTTTACCTGGAGTCAGACCTGGTTTTGATTTGAGGTATTCCTGTTCATTTAAGATTGTGTGTTTTATTTTTTCCACCGCAGGAAGATCTGGGTCTCCCCGAGTCCACGTACGAGCTCTGTTATAACGCTGCCTGTGCTCTGATTGGCCAAGGACAGCTCACAGAGGCCCTCAATAAACTACGGCAAGCAGAGGGTCAGTCCGTTTACTTTCTGTCTCCCGTGTCAAGCTGCTGTTTGATCTGTTTTGTAAATGATTTAATGATGTTTGACACCAAGCGATTGTTTCCTTTGACAGAGCTTTGCAGAGTCTCACTGGCTGATGATTCGGTAAGTGTTTCTTTGCTCTTCGGATGCATTTTGTTTTTATTTTTAACATTTTCATCCATAAAACAGTAAAAGAAGCTTTAAAAGTTTTTGTGAATTGATTTTTGCTAAATATGAACTGTAGGATTTGACAAGCTTGTAAAAGGCTCTGATATTTATGGAAATCTTGTTAGTGATGCTTTTATTCAGAGTGCAGAAATATTCAGGATGTTTGAGTTTCGCTGTAACAAGTAATGGAAAAATATTGATCTTATAAGAAACTATAAATTAAACTGTTCATAACTTTCCCTTTCGTTGCTGGTGTGTCCCCGTCAGGATGTGACCGAGGAGGACATCGAGTCGGAGCTGGCTGTCATCCACTCACAGATGGCGTACATCATGCAGCTACAGGGTCGGACAGACGAGGCTCTGCAGCTCTACAACCAGGTCATCAAGCTCAAGTGAGTCAAGGCCGCGTCACATCACATTCAGTCGCGGCGCAGATGATGGAAATGTAGTCGCGGAGAGCATTGGACAAGATGGAGTGACATTTTTACGAGTGTAAATTTGCATTATGATGTTAAAAGAAATAAATCAGGAAGTTTTACAGGCGTCCAAATTTCAGCAATTCAGGTGTTGAATAGATGCTTTATAACCTGCTGTAACTGTGTGCTTGAAATTCAGGCCGTCTGATGTGGGGCTGCTGGCTGTGACCGCCAACAATATCATCACAATAAACAAGGTGGGTGGAGAGCTCGCCAACTTCAACCTTTAGTGACATCAGTAGCACTTAACTACTTGGGGACTCGTAGCATACGTTGACTTGAGCCAGATTGTTGTTGCAACTTTGCGGACTCGAGACTTGTTTGACTAACATGGATAAAGGACTTGACTTTGACCCGTGACTTCAGACTGGACTTGGACTTGTGACAGACGACTCGAAATGGTTTGAATGTTTTCTTTTTATTTATTTATTAAATATGTGTCTATCTGGAGATGCATTATTTTCTGATGATCAAGTTCTTTAAGTTTTCTAATACTTTCTGATATACACAAAATGTATGTTGTTGATTTGTAGCTAAGGGTTAGTTTGACAGCCTCTCAGTGCACAATTAATAATCAAAGGTAGTTTGGAAAGATTTTATTTGAATATGTGATATATTTCCACAACATTAACTATGAATTGATCATCCATCCATTATCTATGCACCGCTTAATCCTCACTAGGGTCATGGGGGACTGGAGTCTATCCCAGCTGACTTAGGGTGAAGGCAGGAGACACCCTGGACAGGTCACCAGTCTATCACAGGGCTACACTTAGAGACAGACAACCAAGCACACTCACATTCACACCTACAGACAATTTAGAATCACCAATTAACCTCAACATGTTTTTGGACTGTGTGGGAGGAAGCCAGAGAACCTGGAGAGAACATGCAAATTCCATGCAGAAAGATTCCGGTGCCCCCATCGGGACGCAAACCGGCAACCTCTTGTTGCGAGGCAACAGTGCTAACCAACTGCGCCACCCATGAATGAGCCCATGAATTGATCATCGTAAATCAAAAGTCATCCCAAACTCTTTATTTTTTCAAGAGACACTTGGAGTGCATCTTTTGTTGCTGTTAATTAGACTCACCACGAGTCCTCCTATGTGTGCCCATAGTCATGGTTGGATATGTGGATACTATTTATACCAGAATAATGAAATGATGTGACCCTCCTTCAACACTGATATAAATTATGTATATGTCTTTTCCCTCTTGAGACCTTGCAGCTGTTCGGCTATATTACAATCTCAAATTTGCAGCCTCTGTTGTGTTCCTTTAGGGAGCTTGGTATCGCTTGCCTCAAAACATCAAATATCAATCAATAAATCTCATAAGGTGAGCAGGCTGCCACGTTTTAAGTTGACTTTGAAAATGTAACTCCATGACAGCTCTCTCTTTAAATGTGGAAACTGGAGTAGATCATCATAATTTCATATGACTTGACTTGTGATTTCATTTGGCTGATATTCACCACAGTCACTTGGCACTTGCTTGTGACTTGAACACGTGCTGCTCAACAGTCAACCTGCTTTAACATCAGTCCAACTATGACCGTTAATGCTCTGTCTGTTGTCCCTCAGGACCAAAATGTGTTCGACTCAAAGAAAAAGGTGAAGCTGACGAGTGCTGAGGGCGTTGAATACAAGCTGGCCAAGAAGCAGCTGCAAGCCATCGACTTCAACAAAGCCCTGCTGGCCATGTACACGAACCAGGTGCGGTTGTAGCTTGAAACCATCTGTGACTCAGGAACAGGAAACTGTACAGGCTAGTTTTGGGTAATTTTACATTTTAATACTGATCACGGTTTGTCGTTGCTTTGCCGTCAACAGGCTGACCAGTGCAGGAAACTGTCGTCCAGTCTTCAGTCTCAGAACCCAGGTCACCCTCGGCCGGTCCTGATCCAGGTGGCTCAACTGTGCAGGGAGAAGCAGCACAGCAGGGCCATCGAGCTGCTCCAGGTATCAGTGACAGATGCTGCTGCTGGTTGTCAGGCGGAATCACATCATTCACCTTGTAGAAGTTCCAAGGATAAAATCATGCACCAACTTTTCTGATGTTTGGCAAAGTGTCATAATGGTGTTTTACCAGCTAAACTCTCACTAACTTCCCTCATTCAAAGTGGTAAAAGTACCGTATTTTCTGCACCATAAGGCACACCGAATTATAAGGCGCATGTTGAAACATACGGTCTACAAAAAAAAAAAGGCAACGTAAGCAAAACAGTAAATTTAGTTGAACTTTATTCTACTATTTAACAACACGCTCACATTATTTTTTTTTATCATTCTTCTGCCACAAATCCACCAAAGTCCTCATCCTCTGTGTCTGAATTGAACAGCTGGGCAATTTCGCCATCAAACATGCCAGGTTCCCTCTCATCATTGTCGGGGTCAGTCTCGTTGTCAGGTGGTTGTTCAGCAATGATGCCGGGTTTCGCAAAAGCTCGGATAACAGTTAAAGCAGATGCCTTAGCCCAAGCATCCACAATCTGCCTTAGTAAAGGTGTGTTCGCTGTCTGCCATCCATCGCTCCCATGCCACTCGCAGCCTCACTTTATCGCTGCCAGCGTACGTAGTGTACGTATTACGCCCCCGTGTCAGCGGAAAATGGTCCGACAGTCAGTCAGGCGGAGCGCTTACCAAAGTTGCACAGCATTTTGACAGATTTTGGAACTCAGTGCACACCTAAGGCGCACCGGATTATAAGGCGCAGGGCCGATTTTTGAGATAATTTAAGGCTCTTAGATGCGCCTTATAGTGCGGAAAATACGGTAATCATAGCAGCAGAATGAGCCCTGCAACTAAAACACTGTTATATACCGTACGGTCACTTTAATATTAGTGTGTGAGCAGCTTTGGTTCATTTGAAGGTGTTCTTTGTTTTACATTTTATTTTATTGGACTGCTTCAATTACATACAATTCTAGTTCAAATTAATTGAAAAAATTCAGAAAATAGTGAGAAATGTCCCTACAGTTGAACTTTTTTTTTTCATCCAACAGTTCAAACCTCAACATCATTACCACAAAAATAAATTAATGAAAAGGAAAAGCAGCTAATTTGTTACATTTGAAAAGCTGAGATCATGAAATGTTCTGCGTTGTTGATTGAAAGTTACCAACGATTATCAATCAGCTGACAGTTTATCAGCAGTTCTAGAAAATAACTCTACTATAAACTTTACCATAAACCAGTAAATATCTTTACTATAAACCATTTAAATTTCTTAAGTTCTGTACTTAATGACAATATCGAGGTACTTAACTGAGTATTTCTATTTTATGCAGCTTTATCCTTCCTCCACTACATTTACCTGATAGCTTCAGTTACTTTTAAGAGGAAGATTTTACACAACAGTTAATATAACTAATAAATATAATATAATATAAATATAAGGTTTCTAAAAACATGAATACATCCATTACATTTTGCTGCTAATACTTAAGCAGGACTTTTACTTGTGACAGAGTAACTTTACATTGCTGTATTGGTATTTTTATTCAAGTAAATGATTCAACAATCCCACCTGTGCTTTTGAGTCGACAAAAAAACATGTAGTGACATGAAAATAAAATACTCTAGTAAAGAACAATTACCCTAAAACTGTGCTTAAAACTGGCTGTAAAAGGATCTAGGTCTTGGTAAAAAGTTTCAGAATTATGTGCTGATTCACTTTTTTTTTTTCTTTTTCCAGCAATTCTCAGATCAAAATCCAGAGAGTGCATCTGGCATCAAACTGACAATGGCACAACTCTACTTAGTACAAGGTACAGACGTGTTTTATTGCATTCAGACAAACTTCTGCTCTCTGAGGACACGAGAGCAGTTAGCTGTTCCCTGCTTCCTATAATATACACATTGATCTTTATTTTAACAGTTTTTGGTGTCACATCACTGCTAAAATGTTCATAAACCTTAATTCTGAAGTTGTTTTGTTTTTTTTTAGCAATGTAATTTTAAAAATAGCTTCATGTTTTTAAAAAAAATGAATTTATTCTGCTTTGGCCTTTAGGTCATGTAACAAAAGCCTGTGATGTTCTACGGTCCATTGAAGAGTTCAAGCACAAGCCAGGGATGGTAAGACCAAAATGAAAACCATATTCTACACAACTGTTTCTGTCTGTACTGGAACAGCGTGTGTTAACGCAGCACCCTGGTGACTGTCTGATGAGCTTTTCTCTCAAACATCCATCTGAACTGTGTTGTTGACGCTTCAGGTCTCAGCTCTGGTAACGATGTACTCCCACGAAGAAGACATCGACAGCGCCATCGATATTTTCAAACAAGCTATCGAGCATTACCAGTCTGAACAGGTTCGTGTCCAGCATTTTGATAAATGATTTTCAGCTGTTATCTGAAGAAAATCATCATCAGCACATTAAAAACCTTGTAGAGGTACAATTTATAGCTGTTGTGTGGAGTTGCAATGGACCGTACAGCCGCACATAATATTTTCGCCTGAGAAGACAACAGACACATGAGCTAGTATCAGATATCTGAACATGTTGTCACCGTTTCTGTCCTCCACAGCCAGGGTCTGCTGCACACCTGGCTCTTGTACGAGAAGCTGCCAATTTCAAACTGAAGTACGGACGGAAAAAAGAAGCCATTAGTGATCTGGAGCAACTGTGGAAGTGAGTTACATCCCGTAAAAATAGAAACAGAGCTGCAGGTTATGCTTTTTGCAAACGCCATGTCAAGTAGATCCAATATTTATCAAGCTGTTTCAAACATTGGTCATTTTTTAAGGTACATCAGTTCAGTAAATTCACATTTATTCAGGACATCTGTGGACAACCTTTAACCTCTCTATTATCTGTGTTAGTTAGTATCATCATTTTTCTAGACTTTCTTCTGTACAGTGATTAAACTTTTATTTGTCTCGACACAGACAAAACACCAATGACGTCCACACACTGGCACAGCTCATCTCAGCCTACTCTCTGGTGGACACGGACAAAGCCAAATCGTATCCTTTGACCTGATTGAGTGTTTCAAGTGGAAGAGCTGAAACAGTGGAAGCTGATTTATTTATTTTTTTAACTTAACAAATGCCAAAAATTCTCTGGTTATACACACATAAATTAGGACGACCAGATAAAACAAAGAAGACAAAAATGCCACCTTGACCTTTTTTTCCCCAATTATTGCTCTTTTTCTTTTGACCAAATAACAAATATTAATCAGTAATGAAATTAAGTACATCCCTAGAAGACCCAAACTGAATTTCTTGTAGATTGGTATGAACTTTAGAAACATGCTACTAACTCCAAAAGTGAATGGGCAGTGCAAAAATCATTCGTTTGTAGAAGAAAGTGTTCCATCCTTAGCGCTAGTCCACAGCCTCAGCAAACACCTACCGTCTGCAGACACCATGTCCTTCAATGTGGACGTGGACGAGCTGGAGAACTCCCACGGGGCCACATACGTCAGGAAAAAAGCTGCTAAAGTTGTAGGAGAAAGCCTCCCCAAAGAGCAAGGGTAAACCCCTCCTCATACTGCCACTTTGGTGTTCACATTTACTTCCTTTTAATGATCAAAGTGGGAAGGGGGAACTTTGGTTGCTGCACATTCACCTTTTTGCTTCTCTGTTGTCTTTACAGCCAAGGCGAAATCAAGAAGAAGAAGAAGAAAAAGAAAGGTATGTCTGTGCTTAAAACAAATTTACTCCATCACATTTTTACTCATTATGGGCTCAAGTCCTGCACCTCCAATGGAAACAGCACAACCATGGCTAGAATTGGAGGAAACTCAAAAATGCCTTTTGTGCAGGATAAAGAACTTCTAATGCCACAAAAATCATGCAAAAAAAACAACATACACAACTATTTCCAAGCACTGACAGGTGTTACTAATAGTGGAAAACAGCATACTGTAGATATTTTACCACTGAGTGATATTGGTGAGATGCACACTTTTAAGCTTGAACAGCTTGTGGCTGTTTTTCCTGTCAGAACGGTATGTCTCACTGGATATGGAAGTGTACAAATCTGGTGATACTTTCCATTTGTACAGTTTCTGGTTTTGCTTTGCGGTGTTTTATTTTTAAGCATGCCTTTAAAACTAGCTGGCAGGTTTTTGTTCAGACTGTTAAAATGATCTAAAACAGTATTTGTTTCTGTAAATGTTTTTTTATTGACTTTAAAGACATTTAACTGTAAAGTCTGCCTTAGAAACGGATAATAAGTCACCTCCTACCTGATGGGTGGAACAATATTACCAGAACTTTGTGCCAGCTAGGAAAAAAAAAAACAATGTCTTTCAGATATAATACAAACCTTTATCCTTTGAGGAAAACTACTTGTTACTTGCTGTTAAACTTATTTCATGTTTGTAGTTATTGACCATACTAACAGTTCTGTTGATCTCCTTTTTAGGAAAACTGCCCAAGAACTACGACCCCAAAGCGACCCCCGACCTCGAGAGGTGGCTTCCCATGAGGGAGCGGTCCTACTACAGAGGCAAGAAGAAGGGCAAGAAGAAGGAGCAAATTGGAAAAGGCACACAGGGAGCAACCGCAGGAGCTTCCGCTGAGCTGTGAGTAAACGCCACAATCACATGCAAGTGCAAATAGAGCTGTCTGGGTGCCATTTCCTGTAATTGAAACCCAGTAATGACCTCCGCTAATAGAGGTAATGCCCCTGAGATTGCTCTGCTGTTTCCCTCCCAGTGAAGCTTCCAGATCACGAACAGCTTTCCTGTTGTTGCAGCCAAAATACAAGTTATTCTCACCTGAAGGAGAAGTTAGTCTGACAGAACTATCTGAACTGCTTTGACACTTGAAAGAGAGGAAGTGTTTCAGTAGTGAGTTCAAATGTCACTGTCTTGAAAATATCCCAAAAAATCACAAGAAAATTGTGTCCAAAGGCAAATTTATGTGTAGTAGCTATATTTCTAAAATCCCAAACCAGCTCAGAGCACTTCTGATAACTGATTACTGATTTATTCATTAACTAAACTTGCTTCATACACACAGGCTTTGAATGGAAGGTCATTAAGCGTCACAGAAGTCGTTGTCATGGTGGCTCATTGTTAGCTAAACACCCACAGAGAACTACTTCCAGGAATGCGCCCCCTAATCTGCCCTTTCAGTCTTTCTGTTTGTATTGTGTTGTAGATTGTGAGAACTGTGCGATTGTCTCCGAGTACCTCAAAACAACAACAAAGAGCAGTCACTGGATGTAACGCCTCTATTGAGGCTGTTTGTTATGGAGGGCCTCCTTAATTGAATTGAATTGTGGCTCAACAGAAATATAAATAAAACAAGCAAACAAGCATGATGGGACCCGTAAACTAATATTTTGTGGAACAACCCTTTGAGCCAATCACTGCCATCAGGTGTTTTCTGTAACTCTCAGTCAGACTTCTGCACCTGTTGACAGGTGTTTAGATTTTGGTCCACTGCTCATCAGCAAAGGGCTCTAATGTGTCAGGGACAGTTTGGGTTTTTTAAAATTATTCTCTCAACCACAATTCAAAAGCAATGTCTTATTTCATTAAATTATAATTTAGCAAATTTGTATTAATTATTACTTTTTTTCAGTTTCTAGTTATTTGAGTGACTACTGTGAATTTTTCCTTTTCTTTAATGGAACGGTATGAATACGTTTGAGGACGACTGCATTAGGTTCACTAGACACCACTTTCTAGATGCTTTTAATGCAGTCCTGAGATCCCTCCAGAGTCAGTTTCACAACCATTCACACCAGTCATGGGAGTCCTTAACAGTCCGTGAGTCATGTGAAAAGCCCAAAAGGATAAAGGAGAACATCCAGTTGCTTTCTACTCCAGATCTTAGGATTTGCATTAAACCTCTGAAGAGACAGAGACCACTTCTTCTCAATGCAGCTGTTTTTGTAAGATTGTTGTGTTCACATCTGTACAAACTGTAAAAGTGGGAAAACAAACCAGAGCCTCATTCAGCCAGACTCAACAGGTTTGAAAACATCCACAGGAAACCAACCTTTATCTGAGTTTCGCACTTTCTCTCTTCAGGGACGCCAGTAAGACCGCCAGTAGCCCCCCTACCTCCCCGAGACCAGGCTCTGCGTCCGGCTCGTCGGCGGCCCCGGCCAGCGGCGTGGTGCCGCCACGGCAGCAGAAACCTGCAGCCTCGGGGGCCACCCGCAAGAAGGCACCACAGAAGAAGAAGAAGGGCGGCAAAGGAGGCTGGTAGTTGGAAGGAAACAACATGTGAGGGAGAGTGGCTGAGAAAGCTTTTTGTTTCAGGTTCGGTTTTATTTTGTCTTCTCTGTTCGGGTCATTTTGCAAACACGTGAAACCAAAATCTGCCCTTCGCTCTTCTACGCCATTAATTTGTGATATTTTATGAAGTGCAGCAGAGAGAATATTTAAAGGACAGTTCCACCTAAATATGAGAACTTACTCTGCAGAAACAGTTTTTGCTTTTACAGAACTTTGATGTATTGAGGTCACAATAAAATGAACAAAAATACTACAGATACAACTCATGAACACTTTTCCTTAAGTTTGCAGTGAATGGAGTTCATGGGAGCATTTTTCTGCCACTATGAGACAGTTTCACTGTATTTTACACCGTCTGGATCTGTAGAAGCATATGTCTACAATACATATATAATTTCAAATGACTTTGGTTCCGTGTTTGAAATAAGTTCTTCACTAATGTGGCTTCTGACGTTTTGATCACTGTGTTTAAATCCAGTGTCGTCTCATTACTGCATTTTTACAATATTAATGAATTACTTTAAAAAAAAAAAATCTATAGTCAGGATTGCTTAAAAAAACTTTTGCAGAGTAACATGAAGTTTCTAATTTTGGGGGAATTGTCCTTCATATTTCTAGAGTCTGAATATTCATATGTCAAACTCCGGCTTTCTGTGTCACGTTTCTTTAATATGTCCCTTTATTTTCAATCAGCTACAGTGAAGTAAGAGATATTTATTTTTGAATCCCTGTGTTTAATTCCAGCAAAAGAGTTTTAATTCTGTCAGATGCATGTTTTAGAAAGACACTATTTTGGCCAAACAGGAGTCCCATTTTGTTAAGTCTTAATAAACCTCTGAACAGCGACATGCCTCATGTGTTTTTTGGTAACAGTTTCACTAAAATTGATTTTTAAATTGAAATTGAAATGTTGCACCTGTTCAATGCAGATTATATGCAGGTCTCCGAGTCTTAGGAGGCGCTGAATGCGCTCAAGTGTCCTTTGACAAGATATTAAAGGTTTTTTTCTTATTTCCCAAAGTCTCAAGCAGCTGTTTTGTCTGTTTTTTCGTTTTAATTTTGTCTGTTAATATGTCCAAAATTGGCGTTTGCCACCATATGTGTCACAAAATAATTTTTCAGCGTATATGTTTAAACAGCAGCTGATTGTATAACATTCTGCTGCCAAATGCTTTTAATTTTATACAGTGGAAGAGTAAACTGCTAATTATGACAACTCAAAACATTCAATTTGTTTAAACCAGCAGTAAATGCGATTAACATTTATTTGGGCTGTACTGTGTTACCATCATATATTTTACACTTTTATTTATGATGACTATGAAACAAATATTACATTTTTGTTTATGTGGCTGATACTTTATCATCTCTGAGCCATATTTAAAAGCAGGCCATTATAGAAAATGTGTTTAAAATGGTGCCAAAATAAATGACAAAATTCTGTGTAAGACTGTTTTTATGTTTATTTACATTTTTCAGAAGTTCAGAACTGATGAAGCCTCTTGGACGAGAGGTGAAACGTCTTCAAGAAACTCAAGCAAGTCCAGTTGCTACGACTAAACTATGAGAATAACCATGACCTGGATGACTGAGAATCTTCCCAGACCACTGAGCCACTAAAGACCCTAACGAACCCCACTGAGGCAGGGGGAGTACTGATGACTCGCATAATGAGGGGGAGGAGATTCTGAGATTCATCCAGGTCATGGTTATTCTCGTAGTTTAGTCGTAGCAACTGGACTTGCTTGAGTTTCTTGAAGACGTTTCACCTCTCGTCCAAGAGGCTTCATCAGTTTGTAAGTAATGTAATTTGTAAGGTCTTTGTTAAGCGCTACGTGATGACATATGTTGTAAACTGCGCTATACAAATAAAATTGAATTGATTCAGTTCTGAACTGATGAAGCCTCTTGGATGAGAGGTGAAACATCTTCAAGAAACTCAAGCAAGTCCAGTCGCTACGAATAAACTATGAGAATGATACAAATGATGCACTACAGACTGACTGTTTGTTTAGTTGGCTAGTTTCTCTCATTACTTTGTCATTAGAACATCTACATTTTTTTTCTTTATAACCTTCTCAGCCATCCTAATGCCCCCCTGGCACCTCTCTGTGGCCCTCTAGTGGACCGTGTCCCACCTGTTGAGAACCATCGCTTCAATGAGCCTAATTGGTTGAATTGGTTAGTAGTTACTTCATCCTGCCGCTTGTGGGCGCTGTTGTTCGGTCATCTGTCCACTGTGACACACACCTGGAGGGAGCAGCGGTCTTTCTGCCGGAGCTTCAGCAGACACGATGCCTCGTGTGCCTCGCATCTACTCGGATGTCTTCGACGAGCTCCTGACTGAGGACGTGGAGGAGCTGCTGGGCCGCTTCCAGCACTCAGGCTCCATCAGGTACAAGGTGTTTGCAGGCATCTGGAGGCACATGTGCTTCTCGGACGTGTTCAGAGGCATGCCCGGCCTGGCGGAGCTCAAGAGGTTCTGCAGGGTAACTCTGGCCACCGCCGTCAAGTACTTCCTGCCCCCGTTCAGCTACCAGATCAGGGTGGGGGGCCTGTACCTCATGTTCGCTTTCTACCACACGCAGCTCTGCAGCCCTCCTGTCAGGATCAGGCTGGCTCTGAAGGACTGGGCTTGTGTTCAGAAGTTCCTCGAAGACTCTGCAGACTGCGGCCACCACGACGTGGTTTATGTCTACCAGAAGCTCGCCGCGGCCAAAGCCTTCCACTTCACCGCCATGCCGCACGTCCTCACCTTCCAGAAGCAGCGCACAGCCAAGACAGGCGCAGTGTGTGCGGAGTTTCTGGGCAGAGCGACCGCAGTGCGTGAGCTCATGTGCGCAGACATCCTGGAGGAGCTGAGCCACGTCCAGAGCAACTACGAGCAGCTGAAGGAGGCCTGCCCGGAGGTGAGAGGTCAGGCGGCCATGACGCACCGGGACTTGGCCTCCCGCCTCAAAGGCTGCATGTCGGAGTTCATCAGCTGGCAGCAGAAGAGCTTCTCCTCTCAGGACAGCAAGGACGAGAAGGCAGGAGATGGAGAGAAGGAGTCCAGCAGCAGCAGAGCCAGACTGCTGTCCTCCATCAAGCACAAGAGCTACAGCAGCTTCCAGGAGGCGCCCAGGTCCCGGAGGCACCGGCAGGCGGAGACGGTGGAGTCGTCCGACCCCGGGGCGGAGCAGCCGCAGGAGCCCGCCACCGTGCACAAGAAGAAGCCTCCGTCTCTGCGGGCCCGGACCACCCAGAGCCTGGGGGAGAGCCGGGGGGACAGCAGGCTGCATGCCTGGCTGCTGAGCGCCCCGGAGCAGCCGAGGCCCCCGGTGAGGAGGAGCAGCCAGGCCGCGCCCTGCAGAGCCTGAGGAGGACTGCTCTCCTCTGTTCCCATAGACAGACACCTTAGTTTACCTTGTTCATCATAATCTGCCCAGTTTCTGTGTTATCTGGGATCTTTTTTTTTCATAAATTTGTCAATAAATTGTTCTGAATTTCTGGCCCCTTGTCCCAAAATGTCTTCTTTTTTATATATTAAGTTTGAGGACAAGTTTTCAAAGTCCAACCAGTTGGTGTTTTTCCTTCTCAAGTCAGCAAATTATTCAGAAACATCAGATGGCTGTACTATGAAGCCAGATTAGTGGGTTAGGGAGGTGGGTTGGGCTTAAAGTCAGAGTTCTCAGTTTCACCAAGGTGTCTCTCTTTTTACCTGCTAGATCTCCATGGTAACTGATGCTGTGGAGCTAGATCTCCATGGTAACTGATGCTGTGGAGCTAACCTGGTCTGGAGCAGGTTACAGTCAGAGTTTCGGGTTTAAATCAGCTGAAAGAGCGTCTCTCTTTAACCAGATCGTTTCCTGACTATTATTTACGAGCGATGCAGATTCTCAGCTGAGGGAATGTGTTTTATCTGCTAACATGTTGAGATGTGTGTTACTAATATCACTGAATGAAGCCATGTAGTTAGAACATCGCACACTGTAGACGGAGCGCTCCTCACAGGCAGCACTTGGCTGCTGATGCCAGTTTAGGTTGGTGGTCACAGTTCTGCCACCATCGACGGCGGCGATTATATATCATATACCACCACAACCACCGAATATTGAAAAATCTGGATGTTCAGGTCCAGCCCTACTGTAAATCTGACGTTGCCATGGGAACCTGACACCCTAAGTAGGCGATGCAGAAATCACATAAATATATATTTTATGTTTGGCTCTGATTTGCTGTCAAGTCCGTTTGCACTGCTGGTACTGTGGCTGATAAAACACAGATGAGAAAATGGATTATTCTGCTGGTATTCATTACTGAGAATGTTCAATCAATAACATTAGTTTCAGTTTGATTTGGCCAAAAATTAAAGTGATTTTCTGCATTATGGGACCGTGTCAAACTATGATCTCTGCGGGAGACTCTGACCGAGCTGGGCGGCTCCTTCAGTCCTTCCTTCCTGCTGCCGTCAGACTTTACAACCACAACTGCTCCCGATAGACGTCACACCGAGCAATGCTTCTTTTTGATGCAATATCAACACATTCATAGCTGTGAATTATGAATAGTCTGTACATCTAAAAACCCTGTGCAACATCCATTTTCTACATAAACTACAATATGTGCAAAATTGTTTTTCTATGTACAGACAAATCTGTGCAGTGTAGAAAAAAAAAGTCTGTGCAACACCAACACTTGTCTCAGTATTTCTATTCATGAAAGAATCTGTGCCATTCCACTGATACTTGCAATGATGTTATTTCTAGAAATGTACATATTTTGGTCTATTTTTATTTGTACAATTCTAATATGTTATTTATTTGAGGTTCATTTTGCTCTTTGATCAGATCAAGCATTTGTGGAGGGGAAAAAAAACCTCCGGTTGGGGTGAGGAGGGTGAAGAGGAGGGAGAGAACATGAAGACTTTGGAGGTGGCTGAGGCCAACCAGCAGGTCAGAAACGTGGAGCTCCAGATCCAGAGATACCTTCACAGAGGATTAAACACAGAGTTAGTGACATACAACGGTGCCATCTAATTGTATGGAGAGAGAAAGAGGAGAGAAGAGGAGAGGTGCTCATCGAAACTCTGAGTAAGAGGCAGGTGGATGATAAACAGCTAACAGAACTTACAAACATTGCAAAGGTTAACGGCACAAACACGCTCAGAAATGGTGCATTTTACTGTTTAAAGGCGTCGTTTCATTTGGAGTAAAAACAAAGATATCAGGATGTCGTAGAGGTTGTCTGAAATGAGACCTGAGCTGTTCGACACACATGATCTGGAGCCGTCACGCTGCAACACCACACAATGTTTTCTTCATGACTTTATCTGTCAGTGCAATGAATTCTGGGGAGTTACCGTCGGTGATATCTGGAGCTGCTCTTCATTTTCTTCCTCTTCCTGGCTGCTTTCTTCTGTCGTCGATCATCCCGGGGCTCCTCAAATGGTTTCTTTGTCTCCTTGGATTCTGAAGTCAAGAAAAGAATCACAGAAACGTGTGTGAGACTCACATCCAGCAGCAGGATGTAAAAATACACGATCACAAGGCACGCTGTGTCTCTACTGGTACCAACCTGCTGCTTCTCTCTGTGTGGACTTCATGTTCTCTCTGGGACTGTATCGGTTCTCTCTGGATGCTCCGACTTCCTCCTGCCGTCCAGACACATACATGGAAGGTTAACTGCTGATTCTAAACTGACCATGGATGATGCCCTTTGTTAAAGAGCACAGCGCACACAAAATAAGAACGCACAGAAGAATTAGAACTCTTTGTCTCACCTTTTGTGTCACTATAATGAGCTTCCCCTCTTCCATGATCTGGAATCACATCATGGTGTCTTGTGTTGATCTGATCTTTAAGGTCGCTGTGAGTCTTGGAGAGAGAGCTCTAAAGAGAACAGAAACACAGAAAACTTTTATTAACTCAAAGATAAAGAATTACATTTGAGCCATATAACTGGATGTGATCATATTAGCGTGGAGTATCTAATCAGCCAGTTGATTTCATGGACTCACTGTGTTAGCTGAATGGTCTCACATCACATGCACTGGTGCTGGATCTGTTTCCATCATCTTCTTCTTCTTCACCTATTTAAAAAAAAACAACAAATGTACAGATACATTTGTCAATTGATTCTGATGTAAATAACTACATTTTGTCAGACAGCGATGCACTCTGTACTAAATCCTTGTGTAAGCATGCTGTGTCTGTAGCACATTTCAATTACCAGTGCATCCCGGTCCAAATGAGTTGTTCTTTTGCCTCATCGCAGGCTGGTCGTCACCTCTGGGTTCATCTCTGGTGGGGCTCACTCCGTCAGCTTCATGCAGCTGCTGGAACTCGTCTTTTTTCATCTTTTGGGGACCTCTTGTCATCCTTTTCTTCGTCTTGGGTCCAGGAGTCATCAGTCGGTGCTGCAAGAAAACAGAAAGACAAACGCAGCAGAATCTGATACAGAATTTCTCCCCTCCTATTGGAGATGATCAGAAATATAAAATCACAACTTACAACTCACCTTTTCACGTGGCAGCGTCTCCAGGGATCCTTACTTACCTTGTTTTCCAGGAGACGTCCCTCTGGCAGCGAGACCATTACCCTAATACAATATCAATCTACATTTTACATTTAACACCCTGATTTAACCCCAGTGTGACTCCCCTGAACTCTGGTTCTTGTCCATGTGGACTCCACTGTGGGTCCAGGGTGGGATGCATGCACACACATTACTCCTCCACCACGTACTGTCTGCATCCTTTTCACCTCCTGACAGAGCGGAGCGTCACTGTGAGGGCGTATCCCCCCCAGATCCCCCCACACCTCTGACAGGCACCCTGACCCGAGTCACACTGACAAGAACAGAGCTCAGGGGAGTCACACCAAAATAAATAAAATGAAATTAACTGAAATCTATGCCTAGCAAAACTTCTTACCTGGAGGTTGGCCCCTAGCGGGCCCAGCACCTCTCTTACCTTGGGGGCGTCCACGTTGCCCCTGAAACTTCTTCAGGATGGCCCGGATGTTCCTCACCCACTTTGGAACCGGACCCACTGCAGGGGCCCGAGAAGCCAAAGTGGGCAAAGGAGGCTCCTGTGAAGACAAACTAACAGGCTGGTTAGTAGCACAGGAGCACAGTGAGGAGCCCCTGCAGGTGTGTCAGGAGGCTCCTCATGAGGAACAGTGAGGGGAGAACCCATAGGGGGGGCAGGAGCACAGGAGGAGTGAGAGGAAGGGCCACAGGAGTGAGAGGGGGAACAAGAGGAGGGAACGCATGGAAGCCCGAGAAGCCAAAGTCTGTTTCCATCCTTTGACAACTTAGTCGTCCACTGTCCAGAAGAGGAGGAGGGAGAGGGGGAGGTGGAGGAGGAGGAGGAGGAAGAGGAGGAAGGAGAGACTGGTGGCAGCCGCCGAAGGAAGATTTTGTTGTCATCCTCCGAGATCCTGCAACTTCAGCGTCCAGACTCAGGTGCCAGACGAGGCTCCTGAGGAGGACGACAGAGGAGAGAGGAGGGCAGGGAGAGGAGTGAGCAGGGAGATGGAGGTGCAAGATCAAGAGGAGCGAGGAATGAAGGGGGGAGCGAGGGGAGGAGGAAGAAGAGCTAGACAGAGAAAAGCAGGAAGGGAAGAAGGGAGCAGCGAGAGGGGAGAGCCTGGAGGGTGTGTGTGTGTGTGTGTGTGTGTGTGTGTGTGTGTGTGTGTGTGGTACCGAGGAGCTGCTGTCCGACGTCCTCTGAAAACACAAACAAAGCAACATTTCAACGTGTGCGACGTCGACAAAGTGTCCAACGTGTTGTCGCACATCACAACACGCATTCAGTCCCTGGTTGTGTTACAGGCTGCAAAGTGACTGTTTTACACTGAGAGGAGCAGCTTCAGTGTTTCAGCTCTGAGATCAGTCCAGAATGAAAACTGCAGAACTTAAATCCTCAGTTTGTTTGACTTTAGTCAGCAGGGATGCACACACACACACACACACACACACACACACACAGACACACACACAGCTGTGCAACATCAAGCAACGTTCATGTATGTTGCTGGTTTTACTTCTCCCTCATATCATTTCTGTTGCACTTCTTTTAGCATAAAATGACATTTATTGTTACATTAAAATGTAAACACAACTATAAAAGACAAAAGTCAAAATCTGGCAACATGGGTGATGGAAAAAAACAGGTTAAAGATATATATGGAATACTGTATTGTTCAAGTGAAAGTAGCAGCAAATATCTGTAAACAATCTATATTATCATCACAATAATTATTACTATCATGATCTTTAATATGATTAAAATTTGTGTGAAACAACAATTGTTATTTGTAAAAAATACCATCTTGTGATTTGGGCATTAGTTAATTTTTTTCTATTTCTTTTTACACTTGACATGTAAATTAAAACAGATTTTTAAAAAAATAATAAAATTCTGTAATTTAACTAAACAGGACAAATCTGTAAAACAGAAAACCATTTTAAATCCCTAATGTACGTATAGATAATGGATAGATGGATATTATTTACAGTTGTTGAAAACTTTTTATAGTCAACAACAGTTAGAATCTGTAATTCAACAAAAGAGAGAGTCTTTAAAACAGTAAACTGGTCAGAAAGTTACAGCTATAAACGGATTCCACCTCAAACAGTGAATCCTAAAGTAGAAGTCCAGATTCAGACACACTCACATTCAGCAGTGATGCATCGACACGGCTCCACGTGTGAAAACAAATCATTGTTCTGCTCTCACCACAGTCAATCAACCACATCAGCCGCATAACATCGTATTAAAATGAAGTTTAAATGAGAACGTTTGAAAACAGGATCTTATGGTGCCACGTTCTCCATTAACACCTATGAAACAAAATAAACCAAAAGTCATCCATGTTAGATGTCACATTACCCTTGAAAGTACAAAGTCTGTTTTGTTGTTAACTTACCAGGTAAATCAGCTGAGGTTATTTAGCAGGAACAGGGACAGAAGGTCCAGTGGGTGGAGGAGAGAGACAGAGCTCTTTAGAAGATCCAAGACACAACAACAACAAATGTCAGCCATGTTGGATGTCATATGAGACATTAAATATGGAAACTCTTACTCCAGTGTGTTTTTCCTTGCAAATGTAGTCACATGATGTGCATTTATCTAAAAACAAGTTTCTTGTCATGTGATTATGTACTACAGTAAATCTTAATGACACAATTTGATTGGACATGACATGTATACAGGGACAGTCCTCACCTGATGCTTGAGTCTCAGCTCAGTCTGAAGTGGACTTTCCCTGCTTTTCATTGCCTCCAAAATACTTTAACAGCGCTCCTGGTGAAGTTTCATATAAATTCTGAGCATACTAACATGGGCTACAAGGTGGCGCAGTTGGTTAGCACTGTTGCCTCGCAGGAAGAAGGTTGCCGGTTCGCGTCCCGGTGGGGGCACTGGAATCTTTCTGTGTGGAGTTTGCATGTTCTCCCCGTGCAGCGTGGGTTCTCTCCGGGTTCTCCGGCTTCCTCCCACAAGGTACAAAAACATATTGAGGTTAATTGGTGATTCTAAATTGTCTGTAGGTGTGAATGTGAGTGTGCTTGGTTGTCTGTCTCTAAGTGTAGCCCTGTGATAGACTGGTGACCTGTCCAGGGTGTCCCCTGTCTTCACCCTGAGTCGGCTGGGATAGACTCCAGCCCCCCACGACCCTAGTGAGGATTAAGCGGTGTATAGATAATGGATGGATGGATGGATGGCATACTAACATAGAAAGACTGTTCATTTTACCCACATAAATGACTATGCTCTGGTAGTTTGTGAAGGACCGGACACACCCAACACACAAACTTTGTCGAACTTTTTTTTTGTCTGAACTTTTACTAATTGCTGCACTGTTTGCTCAGATTGCACAGGTTTATATTGCACTACCCTGTTCCCATATTTTTATTATTTTATTTCTATCTTTTTCTGCACTGTATTCTTTGCACTATATGTCCGATGTTTACATCGTCCCAGCCTTAACCCGGGCTCTCCGCATGTAGCTCTGCATTGGGCTTGTTAATGTTCATTGTGGTTACTGCATGTAGCACCTTAGCTCTGGATGTGGGAAACGCTGTCTCATTTCACTGTGTACTGTACAGCTGTATGTGGGTGAAATGACAATAAAGCCTTTTTGAACCTTTGAACCTATAATGTCCCTAAAACATTTACATCTTTACATTCTACAATAAAATCTATTTTCATAAAACATCTTTATATACAGTCTGAAATCTTCCTAAAACATTTACATAAAACATCTTTCTGTACGCTCTACAATGAAGCATCTTTCTACAAAACATCTGAATATACAGTCTATAATGTTCCTAAAACATTTACTTGTAAACATCTTTATATAAAACACCTTAATGTCTACAATGTTCCTAAAACATTTACTTGTAAACATCTTTATATACAGTCTACAATAAAACATCTTTATATAAAACACCTTAATGTCTACAATGTTCCTAAAACATTTACTTGTAAACATCTCGATATACAGTCTACAAAGTTCCATGGCAGATAAACATCTATGAATTATTCATTTATTGACGTACAGTACCAGTCAAATGTTTAGACACACCTTCTCATTCAATGGTTTTTATTTATTTTAATTATAATCCTGAAGAAACGCTCTCTCTCATCTTGCCTGTACTACTGTGTATGTACAGCAAAAGTATGAAAGAACACACACTGAATTATGTTTTTTTTTGTTTTTTTTAAGTGTTTTTAGAACATAGTGATGGTGTTAAAACTGTTCAACAAACCAGTGTGTGTTTTATATTTTAGATTCTTTAAAGTAACCCCCTTTTGCTCTGATGACAGCTCTGCACAGTCTTGCATTCTCTGAATCAGCATTAAGAGGAATGTACTACAGCAGCTTACTTGTCAACTGCTGCCAGCTAGTTACTCATTTTACGGTATTCTTTTCACAGTGTAGTGAAGTTAGACTTCCCATGATGCACTGAGCACCTCTGCACACGTTTAGTACATGTCACTAACTTTCTGTCTTCTCTGTCTTGTAAAAAGTAATGTTGTAACCTTTATTTAAAAGGGAAAAAATGTGTTCTAAGGATTGAATTTATTTATTTATTTTACAGATTCACTGATTACAGGAATCGAACAAAATAACAAAAAAAATAAAGTGATAATTAACATGTTGACAGGTTAAAACTGTACATAATGTAT